GAACAAAAACACCATAGATCATGTTTCCGAGGTTTCCCCATGGATTTTCAGGATTTTCGGGTCAAAACTGGGTGCTACATGGTACTACCACAGTAACCCAATAATTCGATGGTTGCCAACGTCCCCTGGGCCGCCGCCTCCACGGGTTCCGTTACGGCTTCCGTTACGGCTTCCGGCTTGGAGTCCGCGTCCTGGCCGCGGCAGTGAATCTTTTGGACGACCCAAGCAATCTGAAGAAAACATCGAAGAATTCAATGGCCACTGCCATTTCTGTATGTTTTTGTTGATTGGATTTTATTGATATAGAATATGTTCTGGGAGAATGAAACATGGCCACTGGAAATGCGGGAGTCAAATGATCAAATCGATCGCTGATGTAAGTGAGCAAGGTATCTCTGGTCAATCAACAAAAGGATGATGTTGTCAAATCCATATAGGTTGTGTTGACGAAACAACCTATGAGTGGAAATGTTCCGCATCTACATATATACATATAATATATCATATATATATGTATATCATATATATTATATATATACATATATGTATCATATATATATATGTATCATATGTATATGTATCATATGTATATGTATATGTATAATATTCATATTTGATATAATATATTAAAATATTATATAACAATAATATAATAACAAAATATTTTATAATATAAATAATATAATATATTATATTAAATTACCGTTTAGGGATGTATGAGGTATCTCTGGTCTCGCTTGTGGAAAGGATGCTTCACTTCCAGAGGATTCCAGCCCAGCCATAGATACGGAATGTCGATTACCATTTATAGTAATTACCTATGAATTAGTAAACCAGCAACGATATGAAGTAATTATCGCCAGTTTACATAGTAATCTATAATAATCTATAAATAGTTGTTCTTGAAGAAAAAAAACACCAAAAAAGGAAGGTGACAACCCCTCCATCCCCTCACCAACCGGACCTCTTCCTTCGCCACGGCTGGTTCCACTTGCTGCTTGTCCTGCGATGTCGATGGAAATCATGCGAAATCCTCCATGGCTGGGAAATCCACAGAAAAATCCTCACTTCCCAGAAGTGAATAAAGTAAGTGGAATATAGATGGAATAGGATAGATGGAATTATAATAATAGTAATGGAATAATAGCATAGTGGAAAATAGTATTGTCTTATGTACCAAAAATATGGGATATAAAAATCGTATAATGATACAATGGATAATAGTATAATATTCAATGGTCCATCAATAATAATGATTATAACAAAATAATACTATAGATGGATAAACACAAAATCGTATACAATAGTGATAATTGTGATAATAATGATGAGAAATGATGAATAATGATGGGAAAATGCCTCAAAATAAATGGACCTTGAAATATGTTGACCTGGGGAAGTAATCGAACTAAATCGAGAATATAGTAATGGTTTTGGAAGAACATGGGATACACTTCACATAATCCACCCAAGAGAAACCCAAAGGGCCCCAAAAGTCAAGGCTGCAGAAAAAAATCTAAGTGTATGGTTCCTGACTAAAGCGAAGACGAACCCGATTGAAGATCATTGGCGTATACAGTGTATACCCTCAAAAACCATCAGCAAACAATATAACCCAAAAAATCATCCAAAAATCGAGCAACATGTGAATAAGAAACACTGAAACTAGAGAATACAACAGTGTTTTATCGAAAAAAATCTGATGGAAAATTCATCGAAAAAAATCCTGGTCCTCTGGTGCATCCACAGGACCTAATGGCGTCAAAATCTCTGATTCTCAGGGTCTATGCTATGTAGAAACGGGGCATGTGAACAGAATTTGTTTAAACAACATGTTTACCCGACTATTTTTGGATTGGTTTAGGAAGAGTACATGCAGAAAATATTCTTTTGCCCTGTAAAACTAGGGGGTGCCGGTATCTTTTTCCTCCATCCAATTCTGGGATGATACATCGACATGTCAATGCGATGCTATATTGTTTGTTGTTTGGCAATCTCAGTGTAGAACTTAAATATGTTCATGTTTGACATCGGCAATATCAAACCAAAACACTCTAAGGCATATTTTGGAAATGACTATATATATATATGCGTGTGTGTGTGCACATACTCATATACATACTAATATGGCTAATTATATGAGGATATGGATATTCACTGATCTCGTTTAGGGTCTAGATCCGTGGGGTTTACATCAGCTACCTTTTTCAGCCAAAGTAAGATGTTTCAAAGCAGCCTCAATTGAGGCATTTTGAACGCTGTCCAAGGTCAACAATGCCATATCGTGCTTCCAAAAATTGTTCAGAATTGCTCGACATGACCCAAACGTGCCCGACAATAATGCTCAAAATTGCTCGAAATGACTCAAGCTGGCCCGAAAAAAACTGTTCAAAGCTGCTCAAAATTTCTCAAAATTACTCAAAATTGGTCAAAGTTGCTCAAAGTTGCTCGAAATTTCTCAAAATGTCTCAAAATGTCTCACAATGGGCCAGCAAGTGTCTAAAGGGGTGATGTGCTTGCATATACAGGTGCGAAAGTTGTCATTACTTGGCATTGCTGTTGCCGGTGTCTATTGTTGCATGGGCTTAAGGTCAGTGTCAATGGAGCCGAGGTTATGCCTGCTGCTACGTTCAGAACCCTCAATCGTCAGTTTCAACTGACAGGGATCACTTGTCATTAGATTAGTTGCCATTGTTTCAATCAACAGCTTATCCCGAAAAAAACGCATTGCTTTGATAGAAAAACAGTTCATGCCCGCAGTTTCTTTTGCTTCATTACTGCCTCTTGGTGATTCCACAATCAGACATGAACTTTTGTTTTTGTTTTTACTTTTTTGGATTTTAGAGATGTGAAAGGTAGCGGATCTAAACCCAATCGATCTACACCCCAAATTGCGAGCAGTGAGATATGCACCGTTTTCAGAGCCCATGTTGAATCCCTACAAAAACCTCTGAGGCTGCGGCTCGGAGGACACTCCAAGCCATGAATGGCCAAGGGTGCCTCCTTGGGAGACTCTTCAGCGTGGAAATGTCTCACCTCAAGGCGTGCCGCGGAAGCCGATGGAAGCGGGTCACGTTTGATAGTCGAGATGGCCATTTTAAGAAAAGGACAGGAGAAATTGTGGTTTTCATAGGAAAATGGTGTGTTTTTTAATATGTGTTGAAAAACACTGGGGTTCCAGGAAGAATTGCCCAATGAGACGACCGGGGTTTGAATCCAACCCATCGAAGAAATGCACGGATCTAGGCTCCTTGAAATGGGGATGAAGCACCAACAACGCAGTGTTTTGTGGGAGAGATAGTGGGGTTATAATCTGCAAAAATTGTGCGAACCTTCCTAAGTACCAGCTATAAAGCGATATGTATCTATCTATATCTATATATATATGTTTAAACCATGTTAACCCAGTTAAATGGAATTGATAGATATATGATAAGAATCAATTCATCTATAGTTGATGGAAAAAAACTAACAGACAGTCATTCATGCAAAATCCAAACATATTCACATAGATCCGTTTGCCAACAGTGCTAATCTTATGAAAAATATTGGCAGAATTCAATTTCCAGTGTGATAGTCGGGACAATACTTGGACAAGACCATGATTAGTCTAATCCTTGCTCACAATGGACTTTACTGGGGAGTTCCCCCCTTTGGTTCTGATATGGTTCATAGTTGGTAGCATCTCATTCCATGTCTCGGCCTCAAATCCTGTTTTCCCAAATGTGCATCATTCAATTTGCCATTTTTGTGGGCTAAATCCCAAATTCAGAAAGCCAAAAACTCAAGTCATCTCGTTGTTTGATCCCCTTTTTGAACCATTTTGATCCCCAAGTCATCACCATGTTCATTACCCTCTGGTAAACATACAAAATATGGAAAATCACCCTTTTTAATGGGACAACTCACTATAAATGGCCATTTTCAATAGCTTTTTGTTTGTTTACCAGGCCGGGTACTAAAAAGTTGTTAATAACCATAGTTACTGCAGTTATAACTGGGGATAATTCACTGATAGCCATTTATCTGTGTAAATTATAATATTTCACCAACCTGAATTAAGGCCATTTGGGGATCATTTCCCCTACTAACCATTATTCCCAGGGTTCGGGAGAACAGTGAGGTCGTGATCAAATTTACCCAGATAAATGGGAGAATCCCCAGTTATTAACCATCTCATAGCCCGATAGCCCATGGCTCTCGACTCGTCCAGTAACATCGTCCGGATGCGAAAAGCTCACGCGGCCACTGGCCGTCTTGGACACCGCTTCAGTGTCAGGACCTGCAGTGCCCCGTGGCTAGTGGGAAAATGGTGACCATTTTCCAACAACAATGGGGTTATTCTGGGGATTATGTATATATATATATACTATATTATATATAGTTGCTTTGTGATAGCTAAGCTGGTGAACATTCACGATAACTTTTGATGGTTTATGATACTTACATAGTATTCATGGTGAAACTTAACCAACAAACATAATGTTTGAAGACCCCACTTTGTAGATCACTGCAGATAATCACGGACTCATGATGGATGGTAGAACGGCCTTGCTGTTAGTATGCTGCAAGTGCAACCACCACACACTATTTTTTCGGTCTCGCAAATTTTGGAGACTCCATTGACTCCATTGCTCACTCACGTTGACTAGTGTTTGGACAGGTTTGGACCAAAACTCATCCCATCCCCCTACCACAGTAAACCAGGTTTTTTTTGGGATTGGATTGGTCAAAGCAGTTGAGCAATGGTTTGTCAGCGCCATCAGCAACCAAACATATCAACGAGAAGCATTGATCATTGGTGCTTGGAACACATCCCCAAAATATCAACCAGTTTATCAGCATCAGAATCCTTTTTTTTCAGGCTCTAAAGTCACACATCAATCTGGGCAAAATTAAAAAGTATTAAAACACGTCCTAAATTTCTGGCGATTTCTGGGTAGATCATCTTGAGGGTTCCCACAACCGCATCGTTTATATTTTGGGCGCTAGTAGGGTAGGCGGTTGTGACCGGTTGTGGCATCGCTAAGAAAAATCGCTGGTCCAACACCTCATCCCATCCTATGTACATGGCATCATGGCCACGGTTCACCGAGAGCTTCGGCGCTCAGCGAAAAAGACTTCAAGAGCCTCGGGGTAAGGCCAGCCGTACGGTGAGCCGAAAATCGGACGGGGTACCCGGCCTTGGTAAACAGCTTGCGAACTGACAAAATCACCATGGTTATTGGGTAAATCAACGAACTAAATGGGCCATCTATATCACAGCTATGTTGCCTCCAGATCTTGATAGACAGTAACTCGAATCACTGGATTGGGAAGGAAAATTTGACCGGACACATCTAAATTTGATGGGGAAGACTAGCCTCTGGTAAACATACAACAAGCTATTGAAAATGGGCATAGAAATAGTGATTGTTTTGCCATTAAAAATGGTGATTTTCCATCGTTTTTTTGGTCATGTTTACCAGGCCGGGTAACTCGTTTTTTCGATTTTCCCATTCCACCGATCCAATCTGACCAGTGTTTCGAACTTCTGCTAGCCATGCCAATTGGATCCCATGGCAATTCGATGGACATGTTGGATACTGCTTAAGTTTTTTTTTAGCTGGCGATTTTTGTGCTTTTTTTAAGTGTATAATCATTGAAGTACGAAAGTCGTCACTCAAGGTTCACCCAGATCATATCCCATCTATCCATATCTATCCACCGTTTTTTCCATGTTTAACCCCCCAGTGTTCGATCATTTTCCATGGATCTCCCCATGCTCAGACGCAAGTTTTCCCACCCAAAAGTGGCAGCTTTACATCGACTGACCTGCAAAGTTGGGGTCCGAGACAAAGTTCGGCACATGAGTAATGTCCTGCTGCTGCGGGTTTCAAGGTGGTGTCCCCCCTGTGAAATGTTTAGGTTGTTGATCAACCACGTGAATACTGTAATTCAGCATGGTAGCAACAACCATTGGCTTCCCAAAGCAGAATGATCGAATTTGGGAGGCACCGAATCTCTACATATATAAGGTTTGGTGCGCTGTATAAGGGTATTTTATCACCATTTTGGATGGTCAACCCCCCCTTGTTGATGGCTCCATGCCTGCCTTTGAGATTGAAGTATCCTTGTTTGTTGGTCATTTTCACCACCACTGTGTGGTGTATTCAACCCTGAAGATATTCTTTAATGGTCAACTGGGGTGATCATCCAAGTTTTTGAAACAGACAGGAGGAAACATATGAACTCATGGAGCACATCATGTTTCCCCATCTTTGGGTTACGTACCATGTTCAAATGATCTCAAATCTGCACATTTGGCTGCTCAATGTCCAAACTCTTGAAAGTGCCAAATGGTTGATCATGTTTCAAGGGGTTTCCTCCATTTTCCCATGGTTTTCCTAGGGTTTTGTCCCAGGTTTACGTATGTTTCCCACATTGATTCGTTTGGCCCAGCCATGCCATGCACCCAACTTGCCACCCTGGTGGTCGGTTTCGTCCCATTCGTGGAGTCTTAATGGATACCCATTCAATTTCACCAACTTTAGTGATCTATGCCATGAAAAATCATTATATATATATACCATATGTATGCCATATGTATGCCCTAATAAACATACAAAAAACGATGGTAAATCACCATTTTTAATGGGTAAGAGCTTGTTGTATGTTTACCAGGCCGGGTATCTCATCCCTGGATGACAGCAGGTAGCATCCCCCGGGACGATCCTGTCCTTGTCAGCTGAAAGGCCCATAAAGTCCGTCCTCGCCTCGATCTCATGGCTTTCTTCGCCACGGATCAATACCTCAGCTGTGAAACACCAAGGTCGAAGATGTGATTTATATAGACAATCAAAAATAGATATATTATTATTGATATTATTATTGATATTATTATTACTACTATTATTTTTAATATTATATATATATATTGGTTTATATATATGTATTAATTACCTTACACATCCTTACACACTTAAAGAAAGGTGCAAACCCTTAGAATTTCTGATGTAACAAACCTTTTTTGCGGTGAAATGCCCGTGCTTGTTGCACTAAGCAACCCTGCACCAGCAGGTTTCCCGAAGAATTGCTATTTATCATTCTTTAGCACCTAGGGAGTTCCAAGAAAAACATAGCACATGTGTGGATATCTATGATTGCTTTGTGGGTAAACCCAATAAACACTCCGCACCATGTGGGGTCATCATCCCGAATGGGGCATATGAACATGTCACAACTGAGGATTGTTTCTTTTGACAAATTTTCCCAAATTTTACAGTTTTACATTAACAATATATGAAGGGTAGTATAACCACCGAAAATTAATCATCAATCAACAGGGGTTTTGAACACTACTCAATTGTGTTGTATCATTATGCCATCATGTCCCATACTCATCTCACATTTCTTGATTCGTGATGGGCTTCACCAATGCGTATCACGTCACACAAGGTCGCCCCCTCAGGTATGTCTGCTAGTGGTTTTGTTTATAAACCATTTACTATAGATATCTCATTAATCTAATGGTTAACCTTCTTATATACCTAGGGACACCTTGTACAACAACATCCAGGTTCTTGTTTACCAACCAGAATTCCAACTCCAGTTTTCCAAAACAAGTTCTGGAAGGTTTTACCCGAAAGTGATCCCAATCATGGTAAAGATCACATACATGGATGGGCCATGGTCAAAACATTGTATATGGTTTATGCTCATCCGTCCCATCATAGGAATCCCTACAAACAGGTATATGATATAAATATCTATGAACATGGATTGATGACCATCCTCCAATATGGGTATATCATCGAGTTTCTGATTTTAATAGTTGATGATATATTCCATTATATATATATATATACATCCCATCATCCCCATGAATATCCTCTGCATTTTTGAGTAAATCAATGCAATTTGACCATGGAACATCCCATTGAATCTCCACAGGTGCCCCCTCCAGTTCTAAATTGCTGAAATAAGCCCATGAAAACTTTAGATATATCACCAACAAAAACATTACTTATAACGGAGTTATAAACCAACTTAGCTATCGAACGGGGGCACCACCTTGCATGCTTCATGGTAAGAATAGCAGATGTTTTCCACGCTAAGCGCGTCGTGGCGCTCTGAACGTGCCCTGCGCGTTGCCCGCTCTGGTGGGCGACCAGATCTCGCCGTTGACGCGAAAGGCGTCGCCCGCGCGTAGCGGTCGCTCCTGGTGCTTGTAGGCACCTGTGGATGTTCATGGTTGGAAAGGTAGGGGGAGAAGAAACTCAACACAAATATGTATACTATACTTACATTAAATATTATATAAATATATAATATAAATATATTATATAAATATATAATATAAATATATTATATAAATATATTATATGTCCATATATATATATACATATGTAATATCTTATACGCATATATGCATATAGATATACATAGGTATCTTGTGGATGTATCCAGTATATCTAGCAGGCAAAATTGTTGGGATGATTTCAGGGAAACAACTGAAGCAAAACCATTTCAGTCGGACAGGGGGACAGGGGGATGATAGTGAATGTGCGTTGGACATAAATGCAAAAAATGGTGGATAATAAAACTAAAACATCATGATAGGTGTTGTAGTTGATGATGATTGGTTTTAAACTCACGACGACCTGTAAAATTCGATTGGGTTGATCGATGGAGCTAATTGAATTGAATGAAAGAACATGTCGTAGCGATTTACAACGGAATGGTGATAGATAAACAGAACTAATTGAATAGTTGTGCAACAAAAAAATGTCAAACAAACACATGCACATACAACTAGCAATGAAGATCAATTAATCAGACTGTATCTGGAACTATTGAAGACAAAGGACAGTGAGTGATGCGAATAGGAAACACATGAAACACATGTTAATGTTGTTCGTAGATTCCTGGGGCAAATACTATAAACATCTATAAATACAGTATACAGTATACAGTATATACATGATGTGTTGCGTTGTTGATGTGTATGCTACATGATCTTCATGATGTACATGTGTTCTTATCAAGAACACAAGAGGAATGGAGTTGCTTTGATATAAAATTATATGTAATACATTGAAATAGCTAATGACAAACAAATTGATATTGATGCCACACAATATAACAATAATGGGGATTACTCGAAAATGTAGCAACTTAAACCACACACATGAAAGGATAATGACGTTTTCTTTTTCTCGATCTAAGTCCCTGATACCAAAATTTGTTTGCCCCTGGGGTCTCTTCAATCTTGGAATGCAAACAAACCAACGATTCCTGAGTGTGCTATCATGTCTAATGACTAGTCACACATGGCTGAATTCACCCTCAAAGTTCTCACTTCTCGGCATTGTCCTGGCATCTCTGTTGCTCCTACAAAAACAAAACATGCGATTTTCCAGCAAACCATGTTTGATTGGCACAATGTGGGCCCCCCTGTAAGTTGGTGTATAATTTCCATACTGGGATTTCCATAAATCACAGTTTCGCTGGTGGCCCCACTGTGCAGAGCTTCGCCGCCGTGGTTTCCGAAGTCATGGGGCTTCGCGGCTTCCCCAAATCATCCAAGTCATGGATGACCATGACGAAAACTATAAGTTAACAACCCATTATATAGACCATCACTCAATATAGGCTATAACAACCATCACTTGAAAATCACTTCAGACAGAAACCCCAGAAATTTACATCTGCTTGAGATCTTCTGGCCGGTGACGACGGGGGATCCCGACCTCCAACACCTGGACCTTCCGACACCGTATGACGCTGGCCCTTGGAATCCACCACTTCCCAAAGGTGGCTCAACACATCCTGAGCAACGACCCAGCAACAAACGGACAAACAAAAAACAAGGGAACTACTGGGTGGATTTTATCTATAAAATTCAATCAACATGAGATGATTATCCTGAAAAACATCCATAGGTTCATAAGATGAATTCATAAGAAAATCGGCTATGTATCCATAAACATGAGATTTAATGGGGGTTGTAGCTGATGAAAATAGCTGATTTATGATAGCTAAGTTGAAGCACATAACTTACGGTTGACCGGTGTATGGAGGAGATGACGATAGTTCATGGGGTTTATAAAGCAACAAACATAACTGGGGGGCCTCACCTTGTAGTGCATTTGTAAACACAAGAGGATTCACCCAGAAAACAACGGGATTGGTATTTTGATTGGAAAATACTGTAACTCGTTGATAATTCAATTTACTGAAATTAAAGATTGGACTTTATCAAATTCTACCCTTTTGGGTGGTAAGCGTAGCTCCTTGTTTGTGTGCTTGCCAGACCAGCCTGTCACCACGGCTTTCCTGCTTCTCAAGTTACAACAAGCGCGGAACCCCACACCATGTTCTGCTGTAGCAAATGAATTTCTCAGTTTCTATGGCACTACTTAACACATTCAATACTGTGGATGGTTGCGAAATCCTGCACCAGTTGGTAGATGGGCAAAATCCCTTTACAATCCCATTATTTGCAGTGTTTCATAGTTACCAGTAGTTACCAACTGGTGCAGGATTTCGCAGTCATGAGGGTAACAGGGGACTGCCTCACCCCCAATTGAACAGACCCCTCTCCCGTATGATCAGCCACACTGGTGGTCTCTCAATTGATGGTTTATGTAACGATATATGTATAAATGTAGATTGTAGAGATATATATATATATTTATTTATTTATTTAAACAAAATATCAATATGTATGTTATATGATATGTGAAATATATTATGTTTAACTTTACATATACATATTTAACAATACTTATGTCATGTCTATGTATATATTATATATATATATATTCATGCAAAACTATTTTTGTATTTCTTTATACCATTTGTCTCGTTCCCCTTGTTACACAAGACATCCACTTGCGGCTTACAACCTCAATGCACCAAGCGGCTACATCGCTATCACGAGCATTGTTGAACTGCACATCGTACTGGAAATAGTACTTTCCCGCCTTTCAAAAATCTGGGCATGGATCAAAGCCTATATTTTCTGTATAAATTTGGGTGGATTGGGGGGATGCACATCCATCATTTTCTAACGCAAAGTGCAAAAACAAAGACACACATACAATATCAACATATACAAACATACGTGTATGTATATATATATATATACATACACTTATACATATATATATATATATGTATTACTGAAAAAAACCCATCTGACAAAAAGTCCATGCGACAGGAGCAATGGCCTATGAGTGGATATTCTTGCAATAAACATCATCCGATCTCCATTGACAGCCACTGTGGCAGTGAAATTGCTGGCAAAATGATCAAGTTCACTCAAGGTGGTGCCCCCATAGTGATGTTAGTTGGTTTATAATCCCCATTAACTATAGATTCTATAGATATAACCCCCATAAACCCTAGTTATTGGACTTATTTGCACCAACTTAGCTAACTATGGGGCACCAACTTGTATGAAATGCAAATTGACGCAAATTGCATGACACCAAGATCTACCCGTTTTGCAAGTTCTTGTTGGACAGGATACGCAGGGACGAGCATCTCCCCACTGACACCCCCATGGTGGCCCTATGATAATCTGATTAATCTCAAACATTGCAAGTAGAAGCAACCCCCAAAATCACCATACAAATCGAGCAATGAGCTATTAAACATTGTGATCTTATGTGATTGTCCTATGCTAAATTATCACAAGGTGTTGTTGGTTATATTACCATTGTACCCCATTCGAATCCCATTAAATCCCCCTACATACCCATTTTGATTAGAACAAACACCATTCTCAGTCTGATGTTATCATTAAAAATCCCAGAAAAAGCGTATTCAAATCCCACTAAAATCCCACAATGTCAGACCCTCCGGTCATCAGCTCCATGGCTTTCTGGCTCGGTTTCTCCCAGCTCACCATGGCTCACCTTCTTGCGACTGAACTCGGCGCGTCCGCCCAAAATCACGCGCTCCACTGAGAGGACGCTGGTCAAGGGCAACATGCCTGGGGTGAAATCAATGGGTCAATGGGTCAATGCCCATCACCCAATCCCGCAACGTTGGGATATCCGCTTAACCATTGTTATACATCCACTTAGAACTGGAACTGCACAAGTGGAGACTGTGGAAGGCTGCCAAAAATATCGATCGAATAAGACAGCGTAAGGATAAACCTAGAGATTTCCTGGAAAGAATACTCGATTTCTTCGGTGGATATGAGATTGTCATCAATTTTAGAACATATTGTATGAACGAAAAACAATCAAAGCGGCGTTTTGTCTCGTCAGATATGTGAACGAGACTAATTACGTTTGAGACTTCTATGTACACCATCTCTTTGTGAAGTTGAAGATCACTTTATATCAATAATACAGGCAAACTGTATATTTGATCAAGGAATATACTATACTGATCTATACTGTACAATAGACAACTGAAATTTCAGGTTTGTATCATGGTGTATCATCTTTAGTTGTATAATTATATGTGGTATCAATCTACTTGAAATTGTTTGGTGTTTCCTGACATATCCTCCGGTGTCATCAAACATGGCACTGGAAAATCCACCTTTTTTTCGAGGTCTCTCCCATGAAAAACCCTCCATTTATCATTTTTTTCGTGCTGGATGGGATTTCACCCTCCATTTTGTTTCCCTAATCCACCACTTTTTCGGCGTTTTTCTGGGTGAAACCAGGGTGAACCCCTCATGAAATCACAATAAAATCTCATCTGGTTGGTGGTTTTAACCCTACCCCTCTGAAAAATATGGGTCACATGGGATTATTGTTCCCAATACATGGAAAAAAAAAACTTCCACTAAACCCCAGTAAAAACCCACCTTCAAACCCAGCCCAACAGCTCCCTGGCACGCCTTCTTTGGCCTCGTCCACGCACGGCACCTCCTTAGCACGTCCGTCGTCGGACAGCGCCAGGCGCCCCACGCGCGCGCTGAAGCTGCGCGGGCCATGGCCGCCCTGGAGGAGGTCGAACTGGAAACCTGGGACTCGGCCCCGGTGAGGTGGATATTGTGTAAGCAGTTGTGGGGATATTGGCATTGACTTAGTGCGGATATTTCTTGTATATAATATGTATATATGTATATATGTATATATGTATATATGTATGTATGTATATATGTATATATGTATATATGTATATATGTATATATGTATATATGTATATATGTGTGGTCACCCCCCTCAACTATATAGTTCGTGCATGTATCCAATACAGCTACAATACTGTAATTTACAGTGTTTTTGTATGTTAGCGTCAAGAAATGTTACAAATTAACCTTTCAAAATGTAGGTTGCATTTTTGATCAATTGTTCGTTTGATTTTTGAAGCTTAATGGCTTCAATTTGTTCCCAACACTTGTCCATCCTCACAACTCTCTTCTTTCATTGTCCATAAAATAAAATCAACACGAAATCAGAATTTAAAAAAAAAAAACTCGAAAAAATACTTTATATACTTCGAGCGATCCCCACCATGACATTTATCGATTTGTTACTGGCATATCTTCCGGCATTCGATCTGGCATTCTATCTGGCATATCTTCTGGCATTTTATCTGGCACATCTTCTGGCATTCTATCTGACATCTTATCTGGCATTCTCTCTGGCATACCTTCTGGCATTCTATCTAGCATATCTTCTAACATTCTATCTGGCATATCTTTTGGCATTCTATCTGGCACATCTTCTGGTATTCTATCTGACATCTTATCTGGCATTCTCTCTGGCACACCTTCTGGCATTCTATCTGGCATATCTTCTAACATTCTATCTGGCATATCTTCTGGCATTCTATCTGGCGGTTGAGGTCCAGCGGTGCACACTGAGCTGGGCACGTCCCGGGTTTGAGGTCCAGCGGTGCACACTGAGCTGGGAAGGTCCCAGGTTGAGGTCCAGCGGTGCACACTGAGCTGGGCAGGTCCCAGGTTGAGGTCCAGCGGTGCACACTGAGCTGGAACGGTCCCAGGTTGAGGTCCAGCGGTGCACACTGAGCTGGGAAGGTCCCAGGTTGAGGTCCAGCGGTGCACACTGAGCTGGGAAGGTCCCAGGTTGAGGTCCAGCGGTGCACACTGAGCTGGGAAGGTCCCAGGTTGAGGTCCAGCAGTGCACACTGGAGAAACTGGAGGAGGAGGGAGGAGGCGGAGGCGGAGGAGGAGGAGGAGGACGAGGAGGAGGAGGAGGACGGGGAGGAGGAGGACAACAGCTCTGATAAAATCTAGCAACCCTCACCTGGCAGGTGGGGAAAAAAATCTCAGAGACTCTTGGCTGGACCCTCCATCCACAAGACCTCTGGAAAATTGTTTTTTTTTGGTTTCTTTTCAAAAGTTTTTCTGGGGTCTCGTCTAGACCCTTCCATCCACAAGACTTCTAGTTGCTTTTTGTTTTTTATCTTCATTTTTGTCTGTTTATTATATGGGCCCCTTATCCCCAAGACTTTTGGAAAAATTCTTTCAAGAATCCATGGAGACAATGGAGCAAACCCTGTCGGGCTGAGTTACCCAATCCACGCTGAAACCTGACGAAACTTCAACACGAATAAACACAGTACAATTTGAAAATAGCATAAGCATGAAACTCAAAGCATCAACAGGAATATCATCAGAAATATATACATGACTGACATATGCATACAGTATCCTTGGATTTGCAAAATATGACATGTGACAAGACAACGTTGCAAAAATTAGCAAACCGCCTGGCGTCGCTCAAGGGCGACGTCAGCCAAAACGTAGCGGATTTTCTAGGAAAATTGTCAGATCTCTTCAGCAAATCCATCTGCGGAAGGGAATCCTTGACTCACGAAACCCCAAGAGTGGACTCAATATGATTCAATCCTATCCCCCCAAATTGTCCATGGCCAGAAAATTTTAGTGGAACAAAAAAAAGATTCAAACAAGAGCGTATGCTTGTACTGTTTGATCAGTTTGAGGATTGAACAAAAATAGAGGTGATATCTACATCCTTCGCCCTTTAGCATCACAATGGCAATTTGGGAGCTCAGAATGGTCTGAAATTCAGCTTATGATGTGGCAAACCCAAGTATAAGCCATCACCAATATGAAATTCATTGAAACCATCCCCAACTGCTAGGCACCTGAATGGCATGTGGTGAATCCCATGTTAGTCTGCAATGCAAAAATCAGAACTTTGCGTGTCCATTCAGTACTACCCTCCAGGCACCCAACCGTGGATGCATATCCCACAAAAAGTGATATATGATGATACATGTATAAGCGATGCATATATATATATATATGTATATATATATATATATTGTACGTAGCGTTCCAAAACTGCAAAACGCTGGTTATTATATCATAACTGATCATAACATCACAAAAAAGCTATGGTTTTTAGACTCGCCAAGTGGCTGCCGTGCATGGAACCATACGGCGTATCTAAACTGGTACCGCTCCTTATGGATGGGATCCGTCGGAGCCATCGAAACGACGGATCGCTTTTTTTGGATTGGCTAACCCCATTCACTGATAGCTGGTTGGTGGTATACCTACAAGGTGGTGCCCCATAGTTAGCTAAGTTGGTGCAAATAAATCCAATAACTAGGGTTGATTAGGGGGTTATATCTATAGTATTCATAGGGGATTATAAAGCAACTTATAACTATGGGGGCACCACCTTGTACCCCTCTGAAAAATATGAGTCAGTTGGGATCATTATTCCCAACTGAATGGAAAGTGATTAGAAAACAAATCCAAACCACAAACCAGTTATAGAAAACTATCCAAAACAAGATAAGTTAACCTCGGGTCCGGCTGGAAATGATGTTGGTAAATCTTCTTCTGTTCGAACTCTGGGATCTCGATCATCTTGCTTTTCCAGATTCCAGATCTCAAGATAGGGTACTCCCATTTCAAAGGATTCTGGCTGGTGGTGCAATAACCATCTTGAAAAATCATGGGCTTCGTCAATGGGTTTCGGATGACATCCCATGTATGAAATGGAACATAATCCAAATCTTTGAAACCACCAACCAGGATTTTTTTGCATCATGGGAAACCCATTTTGATGCCGATGTTGGGCACCTGCTTAGACAAAGCCAAAGGATTGATGAATTTCCCAATATATTTATTGTTCCTATCCTGTATAGACCCACATTTTCTTGAGATGGGTCAAAACTTTGAGGCACGCAAGACACATATTTGCAAGGTATGGTTTGTGATACCCTCATGGTAATCATGACTTACTAGAATATGTCCCCCCATCTATGGTTTTTTCCCATTCAAGCACCATGTATAGAGGATTTCAATTGCCAGGTATCTAATTACCTCAGGGTACAAGTTGACTGATCTTAAAACTGTCCTCATCTATTCATTTCCCTGGCTTCATCGCGGCCTTATCCCCCGACAGGGACATGTCCTGCAGAAAACCATCCTTAGACACCCCGTTTATGCCACTTTCAGGAGGTTTGATTGATGACATCGTTTATGAATGAGGGAGTTGTCTATAAGCTCAATGAATCTGTGTTGAAGATCCATTTTGCCAACAAGTCAGGGAAATCTAGTGAAAACAAAATCCGTATGCTTCAGACTTGGGATGCAGTTTTGGAGGAGCAGTCTCTTTTTGAACCAATGCGCCCCCTAATAGAATTGCTGTTTGTACCATGAAAAACCGCCCTGTTTCTGGTGAAAATTGAGTACCCAGCATCTATGATCTTGATATGATGTACCCAACAAGGATCCAGCTGTACCTTCTTATTTAGGAAGTGGGACTGGGGTATAATTTACTATAATTTGGAGGGTTAGCCGTACCTTCTCAGACACTGGCCATGGATCCATAGGGATTCGGCAGATTACACCACAATGTGGGGCCCCCCAGGTATGTGAACGTTGGTTTAGATTCACCCCATGAATACTATAGATATATAGTTATAAGATGTTAGAGGTATCATAAACCTAGTGATATTGGAGTTATAAACTCACCAACTCAACATAAATCTGCAATGTTTTCCTTGGTTCAATAATGTTAAATCACCATTCTCCTGGTTACCCTCTGGTAAATTGTTACATAGTTACTGAAAAGAACCATAAGAATTCTTGATTTACCCAGCTATAAAATGGTGATTTTCCAGTTCGTTTTTTGTATGTTTACCAGAAGGTAAATCTCCATTAATCCCCATGAAAATCACGATTAATTTATCCTTATTAACCACTAGTAAAACCACTATTAACCACTATTAACCGCTATTAACCACTAGTAGAACCACTATTAACCACTATTAACTACTATTAACCACTATTAGCCACTATTAACCGCTATTAACCACTAGTAGAGCCACTATTAACCACTATTAGTTACTATTAACCACTATTAACCAAAAGGTACCTGGTCCTGGTCCAGGAAACTCGTAGGTCCATTCACCCTTCGGTGGCAACACGGGCGTCACCCCGCGGGCGCCTGGCCGGGATTCTGGGAATCATTCGTTGCAGCTATAGGGTCATGGCCATTCCACCATAAAATACATAAATGTATATATATATATATATCCATATATCTGTAAATAAAATCTACATATATAAATATAAAATCTACATATATAAGTTTATACATATGTGTTAGTATGTGTATGTCTATTTATATTGAAATATATATATATATATCCATATATCTGTAAATAAAATATACATATATAAATATAAAATCTACATATATAATTTTATACATATGTGTTAGTATGTGTATGTCTATATATATTTATATATATCCAAATATCTGTAAATAAAATATACATATATAAATATAAAATCTACATATATAATTTTATACATATGTGTTAGTATGTGTATGTCTATTTATATTTATATATATATCCATATATCTGTAAATAAAATCTACATATATATATATAAAATCTACATATATAATTTTATACATATGTGTTAGTATGTGTATGTCTATTTATATTTGAATATATATATATCCATATATCTGTAAATAAAATCTACATATATAAATATCAAATCTACATATAAAATTTTATACATATGTGTTAGTATGTGTATGTCTATTTATATATATATGTGTGATTATGGATCTATTAGTACTTTAATTCCAAAGTCTAATTACCGTTTTTTTAATGGTGGACCATCCCCAAATATGGGAACACCTAATCCAACTTTTGAACATGGCACATACGATAATAATATGATATATGTTATGTGTATATATACTATTATATATCTGGTTGGTGGTTGACCTACCCCCTTGAAAAATATGAAAGTCAGATTGGATCATCATCCCAAGTATTGGGGAAAATTAAAAAATGTTCCAAACCACCAACCAGAGATACATGTATCCGATTGAATTTCCTCCTTGGTAGAAGATCTTGATATCAGCATCATACATGCGGTGGTGTTGTAGTAGGCATCATCATTTGTATGTAGGCATTATGTATGTACAAGAACATGGTAGTTTCTATACGTTTCGATATTGTATGTTTAATGTTTCTATCATTATGTATATATAATGATATATATATTATATATTTATTTACAATGCATAGTTATACGTACATACACAGCAACATCCTCTCTAAAAAACGTTATAGAAGGGGTGGTCCGTTGATCCAAAACTGATCCAAAGCGCTTTTTTGGCCCAGCCTGGCCCCTTGACCTCCGCGGCTAAACGGCCCAGTGCATCCACAAAGATCCAATGTCTCGTGAGCATCTGTACCGTTTCCTACGGCTGCGCTGGTCATGGCAGCCAGCGAGACTGTGAATTGATGGATGTCCATCGCATCAAACAAATATGGCTTTTGATTTTTGAAATGGTGTCGGTGTCGACCAAGTATGGGTTCAGGTAGATAAAAACTATTGTTTAGTTTTTTTGAGAGATGGCATCCCCAAATCATCACCTTTTTTATGGTTACTAGTTATCGAAGGAAGTCAAACTTCCGACAATATGGACAGATGAAAGGCAGAGATGGGAAGAGTCAGAGAGAAGAGAAGAGCACAAGAGAGAAGATCAGAGAAGAGAAAGAGTCAGAAGAAAGAAGACGCAGATGCGCGAAAAGGTAGGAAAGTCGCGAAACACTGTGTTTTTCCAATGATTTGTGGCTCCGGAAGGTCGAAAAGTAGGCTCGCTAAAGCGGCGGGTGCGGAGCCAGCTGGCCAGATGAGAGGTGAAAATTGCACGCCGTTGTGGCGAGAAGTACATTTCCAAGTCAAAAGTGTTAAAAACTGACGGGTTCAGAGCACTTTTGGAAGTTGAGATGTCGAAAAAGTGCACGCCGTTGTGGCGCGAAGCACATTTCAAAGTCAAAATCCACAAAACACACCAGCTCCGGTTGCGATGTCGAAAAAGTGCACCCCGTTGTGGCGCGAAGCACATTTCGAAGTCAAAATGTACAAAACACACCAGCTCCGGACCACTTTTGGAAGTTGAGATGTCGAAAAAGTGCACCCCGTTGTGGCGCGAAGCACATTTCGAAGTCAAAATGTTAAAAACACCAGGTCACCAGGGGTTCGGACCACTTTTGGACGTTCAGATGTTGTTTCGCGTGGCAGGCGCAAGGGATTGTGCACCTTGTCAAAAGTGAGCAAAGCGTGAAGGTTTTGTAGCATTTCCAAAAACCATGGCAGGCGTGGGACATTTGAAGAGGATCTGCAAAGATGCATTTCGCGTGGCGGGCGCAGTACAAAAGTAGAAAGAATTAGAAAGAAAGATAGATAGATAGCTAGCTAGCTAGCTAGCTAGCTAGATAGATAATCAGAGAAAGAGAGAAAAAGAGAGAGAAAGAGAGGAGACATCAATTACCTTTCGATCCATCAGTGGCTTCGCTCTGCCATCCGTGATTCACAACAACCAATCTCTCCTATAGGTTTCCTATTTTTGAAACTTCCGCCACCGCCTTGTGCGGTACTACTGGTAATATGATAAAACATCCCCAAATGGTAGGCTTATGACGTTTACCTCATGACTCATTAAATCTTATTAAACTCCATGACATGAATGAGAGGATGACACTCCCCCAAAGTTATGGGAAAAGACACTCGATACTCCTGCGATGCTTACCTCCTCAAAAGGTTTGCACTCAAAGACCTAATGTCCACACGCCAAATTCATAAATGCATGCATGGGCTTTGTATATTTTACAGTCTTGGGGAAGGGGCACAGGTTTAGTCAAAAAACGATCACTTCTAAGGGGAGGCCCCTTGATCCAGGGTTGCAAGTACATGTGCTACATCTACAGAATCAGAATCATTTTGTCCCTGAATCATTCCATTTCAGTGTCTGGCTCTCTATCCGTCAATGAAACTTTTATGATCTTTTATGCACAAGGCAGCAGTCATCATCCACTGCAGCATCTACCCTCTGGTAAACTGACATAGCTATGGAAAATTGGTTGTTTTTAATAGGTAATTCAGCCTAAATCATCTATTTCAATGGGCCATTTTCAGTATCAAACTCATAAATTACCGGGTACTGTACGCAAAATTAGCCATAAATCAGCTCTAAATCCCATCCAATCATAAAACTTTCCAATGGTCAAAGCTCTCCCGGTGCCTCACCGAGATTCTTAAAGGTCACAAAATACTTCCAAACCTCGAAGCTGGGTAGGGCTCCGGCCCCCTTCTAACCGGATTAATATGGAGTTAAAGAGCCACCAAACGTGATGTGAACCTTGGTATAAAGCTTTTGAGTACAAGGGTCATAAGTTTTATCATAAAACTTTTAGTGAAATTGGAGTTCTCTTCACATATCTTCACCAAGTGTGCGATTTCCTAGGCGGCCCCACTTTGTAACTGGGTAAGACCCATTTACATCTTGGTTTTAACCTCCAGGGGACCTAACCCTTTGCGAGCAGAGGACAAGTACCAGCTGCGACTCATTTCAGTGGAATGACTGGTTGTCACCAGTTCGGTGATCAGTGCATCAAATAGCTCACTTGGTGAGGTTATAGTTATAATAATTATAACTCCAATTTCACCATGGTTTATGATACCTAAACAAAATTAAAGAAAATTCATGGGGTGAATCAATTCACCAACGTTCACATCCCTGCAAGCCCTGAGATTGTCATGATGAAAACATGAAGATGCTGGACCTGCTTACCCAACAGAACTGGAAGATGAAGGATATCTGGAGAAGTGGTATCAAACAGATATGACCAGTGTATATACAGTATATATATAATTATATACTTATATATTCTGGTTGGTAGTTGACCTACTCCTCTGAAAAACATGACTTCGTCATTTGGGATGATGAAATTCCCAATACCCTCTGGTAATTTAACATAGCTATTGAACATGGCCATTTATAGTGGATTTACCCATTAAAAATGGTGATTTTCTATAGTTACGTTAGTTTACCAGAGGGTATATGGAAAAATCACAAAAATGCTCCAAACCACCAACCAGCCATGCACCATCCCCTTCTCAAAATTCACCAGCGAAACGTCCAACGAAAACCATCTGCTTTCGTGTGATGAAAACATTTGGGACCAACTCGAGCGGGGGAGTGGGCAGAAAATTAGGGGACTGGGCATATGGGTGTGTCTGAAAATAGGGAAAACCCCTAAACCCAATGGTTTTGCTGATCATTATCCCGTTTTTAAATGGCTATTTTATTGGGAAGATTAACCCTATTTTCAGACAAACCCATATAACTCGAATACCTTTCCAAACAATTTCAAATGGGGAACACCACATAATGTCAACCTGGGATTGATAAACCCTGGTTGATGGTTGATTAGTGAGGGGGGTTTCCCCAAAATAGTGATAATTGGTTACTAAAATATACTAAAATAGTGATAATTGGTTACAACCCAAAATTCGAAAAAATGTGTGGTGCTGACATTACACACACAGTTACATACTTCCAACCTGATGGGAAATATCATCGCTCCATATTTAGCACTTCAAACTGACTGATCCCAGCGTTTGTCTCAAAATTGGAGGTACCCAAAGTTGATGGTTACCCTCTGGTAATTTAACATAGCTATTGAAAATGGCCCATTTAGTTCGTTGATTTACCGATTGAAAATTGTGATTTTCCATAGTTATGTAAACGTTTACCAGAGGGTACCTACAATAATCGAATTTGGCTAGCTGGAAAATTCCCTAGCTCGATGATGTTCCCAGCGAACTAAACCTCCGCTAGCCACGTTTGATGACACCGGAAGGTCTCATCATTTTCCTTTCCAAAACATGGGCCATGAATTGGTGTACCAGAGCATCCCTGATTTCGAGCCAAAGCCGCAATATATTGAAACATTATTATATCCCAATTATACCAACATCTATATATAGATGGTTTTCCCATTAAACACCAATCATTATACTGTACCCCAACTGTAAAAACAAAATACACAAGGTGATGCCTCACCCAGTTTTGTTTGTTGGCTTATAAACCCCATTAACTATCATCATCTATTGTACTTGCCATAAACCCAACGGTTCTACAAGTGATGTTCACCAATTTGGTGAAGTAGATCTAAGTACTTGCCACAAACCCAAGAGTTCAGTAATGTTCACCAATTTGGCGAAGTAAGGGGCACCACAAAATGCATCATTCATTACCCTCCAGGATCAGGAGCACCCACAAAAATATGGGTCTCCCCACGTATTGGCTGCCTCCGAAGTTGCCCTGGAACACCGACCTGGACGTGCCGAACGCTCCGAGACTGCCGTTAAGAACCTGTTAATATCTGTACTACATTATATATATATATACCCTGATGCTTCTGTACATAGCCGCTACAGTCTAATCTCTATATTTAAGTATCTATATATATATATATGCATTACCTTCTCTTGTGCTTTTTTTCGTTTCACTCTTGGAAGGAGTCTGTCAAAAAACAAAAGCAGAAAAATGCGCAGAAATGTAGTTCGATAGAAACAAGAAAACAGTAGCTGAACCCCCAAGTTCCCGCCGGGTTTTCAGGCGTGAAAGAGATGTGTATAGCAATCTGAAATTGTCCGCATTGGCATACTGGTTGCACTGATTCTTTTTCTGTACAGCCAAAATTCTACACTGATCTTTTGTCACAGATACCCGGTTGGTGGAATAACTTGCATGTTGTAAGTACTCAGGGACTGTGCTATGTGTGTGCACATGTGTATATATATATATATACATACATACATATCAAAATCTCATGAGAATTAAGATTTGCCAAATCCCAAGTACAAGCCCAAATCCTTGTTTATGTGTATATATATATATTTGTAATTATGTTATGTCATGTTTACACTTTAGAACGCATTGTGCTTCAAATGATTGGAAAATGGAGCGGGCCGAGCAGAAGGCTCCTGGGCCGGGCGTGTTGGGTCATCTGGGTCTTCTTCAAAAGCCGCTTTGCGCTTTGGGAAACCCAGAACCCAGACGGTAATATGTAAATATATGTAAATACATGTATACGTATATCAAGCTGTCTGTATGTCTGTCTATCTACCTATCTATCTCTATCTGCCTTTGTCTATCCATCGATCCATCGATCCATCGTTCCATCCATCCTTCCATCAATCCATCCATCCATCCATCCATCCATCTATCTATATATATATATTTGTATGCGTGTTTTGTTTACATATATTTCGCTATATACCAATGCGTAACCCATGCAGCTCTTCCCAACTGCCAGCTGGTCCCGTGGCACGGCGTGCCGCCTGGTGTGCAGCTCAACATTACCTGAGATCTGAGAAGAACTCAGAGCTCAACGTGCTCCCCACAGTTATGTGTCTTACCCTCTGGTTATTTGATACATAGCCATGGTATAGATGGCCCATAGAAATAGATGGCTTACCGTTCTTAAAAATGGTGATTTTCCATGGCAATGTTAAATAACCAGATGGTACATGGATCTGATTGACTTATTTTGGGGATACCAAACTAAAATGGGCAGTGAGATGCGGAGCAAACCAACTCAGTTTCATGGAGATATCATGGGGATATTTCATGGAGATATCATTATTGAGATGACCAAGTATCATTTTGAATGATCCCATTTTGGAATATTTTGGAGATGGATAATCTCCAAAATAAAGCTCTACCCAGAGAAAATTTCACACAAATAACAGGAAAAATGGGGAGTGGTTGCCAACTCAGAAGACATCAGGGGGATATGAATTGGCATATTGTTTAGGATAGAATCCCCCTGTGAGAATAAACTACATTGGTAAACATTATTGAATGATAATGGGCAGCTTTTTTTCAAGTTGTAGGATATGATCGGGCAAGTATCTAAACAATATTTAGGCATTTAGGACATGGTTTATCTACAATGTGGGGCCCTTCACTTATAAGTTGGTTTATAAACCCCATGAATTGTTACAAGCATCATAAACCATAGATTACTGGAGTTATGTTCATCAACTTGGCGATTTCGTAAACGGAGGCCCCACATCGTATCTCCAATGCAGATGGCATGGCCTCATCAACACCCTGAAATTTCGCTGGGCACCCCATTTTGCGCATCCCTGGTCCAAAAGAAATGGTTAAGTTTGCATGATTCAAAACCTATTATCTATATATACATATATAATTATATATCTATATAACTATATCATAATACTTTATATATTTATATAATATATATAATCTATAGCTATTTCGATAATCTATGTCTGCCCCTCTCTAACTAGCGTTTTGAGGGAAGCATGGTTCACAATACACAGCTGCCACTTTTCGGATCCGTGATCCATGGTGAAACCGAAACCATGCAGACGCCGGTCTCAGAGGTCTCCCCGCAACAGGCGGAGGCGGTGAAGAACCCGCCTAAAACCAATGGGGTCATTCAGGTTCCAGATGGTTCCAGGTATGTTTATACACTCTGTATACAATATATATATATATCTGGTTGGTGGTTGACCTACCCCTCTGAAAAATATGAGTCAGTTGGGAAAACTATTCCCAATATATGGAAGAATAAAAATGTGCCAAACCACCAACCAAATGTATATAGTATGTATGTATGTATGTATGTATGTATGTATGTATGTATGTATGTATGTATGTATGTATGTATGTATGTATGTATGTATGTATGTATGTATTAATGTAATGTATGTATGTATGTATGTATGTATGTATGTATGTATGTATGTATGTATGTATGTATGTATGTATGTATGTATGTATGTATGTATGTATGTATGTATGTATGTATGTATGTATTATGTATGTATGTATGTATGTATGTATGTATGTATGTATGTATGTATGTTGTATGTATGTATGTATGTATGTATGTATGTATGTATGTATGTATGTATGTATGTATGTATGTATGTATGTATGTATGTATGTATGTATGTATGTATGTATGTATGTATGTATGTATGTATGTATGTATGTATGTATATATATATATACACACCTTGTACCTGTATTATGATAATACTAGTAACTGAAATAAAGATCTCTCGCCTCCCTATGTATATAAATATGATGATATACGAATATATAATCATACACACACTGTACTGATGATCATCATGCCACCCCAGCTGAACTCATGGCACGGGGTATATCTCCAAGGAATCACAAACATGTGGAGTATCATGATATTGACCTAGCACAATTGCACAACAATCCACAGTACATGTAGTGCTTTTTAGTGGAAATCGGTCCCAGCGTTCCAAAATATAAACCTCCTGGCAAGGTAAACTTTCACCAAACAAACGCAGCTTACATACATTCTGATGGGATGTTTGGAGTTTTCCATGTTTTTTTTCCAATATATACATACATACCAATTCAAGGTTCCTTGTGGAACAACTTGGGATACATTGTATCAGCTACAGCTAGAGGACACACCAACCATGGAGATAAACATGTGTCTGCAAGTAGAATCGGAACTGATACAGCCACCTCACTTGCGATAGAGAGCTTCGAGCCAAAAAAAGAGCCACCTGATATTCCCCTGTGCGCCATGGCCAAGAAAAACTAGTGTCAGTTTCTACCCCGGGCAAAAACCATGGCAATGTCAGAGATTTCAGCAGGACAATTAACTTTTTTCCGTGTGTTGGCTTCCGTATGAGAGGGACCCCCGAAATTTATTCAAATGGATAAGCTATCTTGGCCATGAATTTCCCATTCTTGGAGTTTCTTGGCTACGACTGGAAGCAGTGACAGGTGAAACGTGACTCAGAACATGATGGTCGCACCCTTCTTGCTCCTGGTCTTGATCTCTTCCTGCGAGCACTGTGCGGCTGTGCCAGAAGGATCACCAAGGCGCAAGTTGCAGCAAAGAACAAACCCGACAGACAATTGAACTGGGATTATCTTTCTTTTCTCTCTAAATATGGATTATATTGGGTACAAATATATATATATATATATTATGAATTATGGTTTATTATATATATATACACATAACTATGTGCTTGATTATGTATCATATTATCTCTACATTATATATATATATGTATATATTCATTAATATGCATGGTTGGTGGTTGACCTACCCCTCTGAAAAATATGACTTCGTCAGTTGGGATGATGACATTCCATTCCCAATATGATGGGAAAGTGATAATCTATTCCATGGTTCCAAAGCACCAACCAGATATACCATATTTATATCATATGTAATTCTGTGTTTGATTGTGTATCATATTATCTGTACATTATATATATTATATATCATTAATATACATACAACTACAAGACATTGCAAGATATCAATATTCCAATTGTGAATCCCCGGCTGGTAAATTCCCATCAGAAACATGGAAGTTTCTAGCTGGGAACACATATGACATAGGAAAATCCATGGGAAACAAATGGAAAATATGGGAATTTGTTTCTATAAATTATAAATGAACGGTTTCACTGGGAAAATCCATCAACAAAAATAGATATGAACAGTGGATTTTCCAGTGCCATTTTACATTGCTGGAGGGTTTCTACTTCTGAAAAATCCCACTACAATATACTACGATCCTATCGTATTCCTTGTAGAATTGGTCACTACTTATACTACTTGGTGCTTTCAACCAATCATAATCATTCCCAAGATGCCCCTAGAAACTACCCAGTCTATCCCATTTGTTGATGGTTAAACAGGGTTTAATCTAAACCTCAATTGTTAATGGTTACCCTCTGGTAAACGTTTACATAATTATGGAAAATCACCATTTTCAATGGGTAAATCCACTATAAATGGGCCATTTTCAATAGCTATGTATGTTAGTCATTACCAGAGGGTAAATATATAAATATATATAAATAAATATATATATATATATAATATATATAATATATATATAATATATATATATAATATATATTATATCCATATAATATTCCATATAATATTCCATATACTGGACCTCGCGGATGAAGATCCAGGCTGGTGGCTGGTGGATCTAAACCTCAGTTAATGGTGATTTTCCACCTCCAAACTCCCCGGGACCCGATCTCCGACCGAGTCCGTCGTCCTGGAAGGCCATGGCGGTGCGAATCTTCGCATCGGTGCGGCAGTCCAGGATCCACGGCAACAGGGCCAAGAGGATCGTGAGACCCACGCAGATCAGGCCCAGCATCTCGATGCTGTTCCTCGGCGCTCGCTGCGTTTTTTAGGTAGGGATACCATCTATAAATGGATGATATGTATATATAGTATGTTAGATTATTATAGTATGATAGTATAATATAGTGTATAATATAGTGTATAATATATAGTATATATATATTTATAAATCCCATCTAGTAATGGATACTTGCTGGTGCGTGCTAAACGTAGGGATTGTGGATGAGTTGCTGGGGGTTGCTGGGATGATTATAGTTAGCCAGTGGATCATTCCCGAAAATTCCCTGCGCTTAGCACAAGTAAGTCGGTGGAGGTTCACTGTGGCTCTCATGGAGGTAATGGATGAGACTCAACATGGCAGTTTTTGACACCAAAATTGGCTCAAATAGCCTATCATAAGCTATAATATGAATGACAGTTAATAATAGTAAGAAGAACATAATATCTGTTTTTTCTGCATGGAATATCATGGAATACCAGGTGTCACCATGATGGAGGTGGGTCTCAGTGACCAAAGGTGACCCCCTCAAAAATGATCACAAGTTGGAGACCGGGGCAGCAGCTCACTATGGCTGGGGGTTGCTGTTTTTTTCCCCGCGATCATATGTCCTGTTTAAGGAAAATGATGAAAACCCCATGGTCTTGGGGCCTTTGGGGAAAACCTTATCCACCCAGGCTTTGTAATTTGCTTTGATCCATCAACGCGTCAAATCGTTAACAGTTCTCTCCTTGCAGGTGCTGCCAGAAAAAGCTTGCTGCTTTTTAAGCCCCTGTGTCCAAAAACGAGGTCAGTACCCGAAGAATCTTGGTCTATCATCATCTGGTTGGTGGTGCAATAACCATCTTGAAAAATTAAAATATGAAAGTCAATGGGAAGGATTATCCCATGTATTATGGAAAATAAAAAATGTTTGAAACCACCAACCAGTCATTGTTTCATATCTCCTTCGAAAAAGTTCCATATCTTGCGAGATGTACTTATGGTATCTATCCCGCTACTTGGGGGTGCAGTTCCACAAGTTATAGGGGGTGTATCCCAACTCTTGGGGTTTAATACCAGCAACCCCAGGTCAACATTGCTTTGTTGACGGCTTCCCTCTAGAGGAAGAACAAGCATAGACACCATCCCCAGCCACGGAACTTTTTCTCATGTCACATTTGACTTCCGATGATCTTTGAGGCACTGATCGGTTGCTACAAATGTCTGAGCTGATCCTTGACTGTGGTATTGTCACCACCATCTTGCGGACTGCCCCATGTGACAATCGTGTCACCTCCAACGCACCACTTGTGGCCATTGCACGATCTGCAGCTACTTTGGTTGGATCCAAAAGGCGGATCATCGGGGGCAGCAAGCGATACTGCTGCACAACGGCCACGAATGGCAACGACACGTTCAGTCGCAATGGTTGCAGAATCTTATTTATCCTCAAAGGTTTACACCTGGTTTTTTCAGGTTCCATAGCGAATGTGGCCATCTCACTTTAGCGATGTTTGCGACAAACAATTTACAATTTGATCTCAACTATGAATCTATGAGGAAGGATGCAGGAGAACGATTGCTAAACCTTCAAAAGCCTTTCATCGTCAATCAACTAATAAGGGGTCAGGGCGGAACTTCAGATTTGCCTCAGACTACTGCATGCAGTTGGTTGGAGTTTCCCATTTAAAATAAACACACTAAGGCCTGTTCCAGGTGATAAGATTCCCACGTTACTGACCGGAGGATTCAACTCCCGGTTTCCATTCACTTTCCCAGCGGTTTCGTATGCACTTGCAGTGTCACAAATTGTCACGTTTATTTTCACAAGATGGCTGCAGAATTGGGCAAAGTTGAACAGTCAGTGCAAACCTCCACCCTGAAAGCTCGATTTTTTGTTCAACACTTGGTAACCGCTGTGGATGACCATCCCAGTAAAACCCACAACGGCCACAACGGCCGCGTTGCGTTGTGCTCCTTGTAGCGTAGCGTTTTTTGTCGCGGCCGAGGGTCCATTGGGACTCGCACTTCTCCGTGTTGTTGATACATTCCTTCATGGCTCAATGGGGAAGTCTCAACATCAACCATCGACTGGGGATCACGGGGCTAGGGGATCTGGAACTTATCTGGTTGGTGGTTGACCTACCTACCATTGCTTGGTAATATACTGTTAATATTAATGGTTAATATTAATGGTTATGATGATGGTTAATGATGGTGAATAATCATCTGGTTGGTGGTTTTGAGCCACCCCTCTGAAAAATATGAGTTCGTCAGTTGGGGTTACTATTCTCAATGTATGGAAAAAAAATGTTCCAAACCACCAACCAGTATAAGAAACTAGGCATGAACGAACATGATAGTCGGGTGTCTGAAAACTGTGAGATCAAAGTGATCTAGGGATGGTGATTCGGTGATAATTATGGTACTGTTCATTGTCGTTAAACGATGGCAAAGTTGGTGAACATAACTCCAATAACTATGGTTTCCGAATCTTTATGATACTTATAACATCTTATAACCAACTTAGTTCACTGGGGGTGAAAAAACTACAGAACTAAGATCTATACAAAGTATTCATATATACCAGTATACTGATAAAACATGATCAAACTCGAGTCACTGGGCGGCCCCAGGCCCCACTGCCCCGCGTTCCCCGTCCTCGGGCCAAACGTCGTACCATCCGTGCGTCACGTTGGGCAGGCGATTCTCGGGCCTCGCGCAGCGTGGAGACGTTGAAGATGGAGCTCCCTGGAAAAGTTGTTTTCTGCTGATGATTTTAGAGTAGCCATGACGGATCCATGTATGCTATATATGGAAACATTTACCATCAATACTAAATCAATACACCCTAAATGTTGGTATATATACCAGCACCATGGATCCTGTGGTGGATATTAAACTAGCTAATGCTTATTCCCATTCTATTCCCAATAGTTCCCATGAAAACCTTCCCATGGTGGGTAATTGTTGGGTGTTTTTTTTGTTGGACCATAGAATCTATAACGGTGATTGTCTCGAAATGACTGGAGTGCACAGAAAAACCACCTTGTACTGATCTTAGATAAGGGGGCTTGTCATACCCCATACCCCAAAAAGCATGGTTTAATACTCAAAGCAATTGGCTGACCCTGCAAAGGCTGTATGTATGTATATATATATATATGTAAATATATATGTAAATATCTAATCGATATGTATGTATATATATATATATGCATGTGCATACAGCATACACAAACATATGTGTGTATACATACGTATATATATATATGTATATATACACACATGTATATACATATATGTATATATATATATATGTTTATACATGGTATATGACTATGCAGCGAGAAAAAGAGAGACAAACATATTTCCTATTCGTGGGTTGCAGTTGAGGTTACAAATGAATATAACCATGGGCATAAACCGCCATAAGTTGGGATGTGGGGGCCACTGTAACTATGCTGAAATATATATCCACTTACTTCACAAGTTCACTGTTCTTGCAAGAAATGTCTCAAAACTCAAACATGTACAATCATTCAAACGGGGGTGTCCTAAAATGTGGGCAACCCATCCATTTATGGGTTTTCCACTAGAAACCATCCAGCTATTGGGGATCTCCATTTCAGGAAATCCCCAAATCAGCTAAAAACAAATCAACCTAGATGTTTTTTGTCCCTTAAAAACCATCCTTTTTGGGGTACCCCCATCTCAGGAAACCCTCATATTTTTTTCCAACGCTTCAACGCTTCCAGGTTGCCATCCATCCAACAACAGGAGGGCTGAGAGTTCATCGATGACCTGAAATGTTCGAGGATTTCTCCAGCAAAAATCGATGGAGTTCACCAACAAACCTAGTGGTTAATAGTGGTTAATAGTGCTCAATAGTGATAATAAATGGTGATTTTCATGGGGATTCATGGAGATGTAGCCGGCCTGGTAAACGTTTACAGGTTGCGAACTGGAAAATATTCATCTTTAACTTCGGTAAATCAACTATAAATCAATAGCTATGTCACAAATTACCAGAGGGTGAAATTGATGTTAGCGAAGTTGGTGAACATCACTCCAATTTCACGATTAAGTCTATGGTAGATATAGCTATACCTATACGGGGTGTTTTTCAACAAACATCACTCAAGGTGATACCACCTTGAATGGAAAGCAAACGGTTAAATTTATCAGCAAGAATCATGCAGGATGGGGGCCCCGTTCGATAGCGTTCAGTTGGTGCAAATTAGTGGCTGAATTCTATGGTTTATGGTAGATATAACTATAGTTCATGGGGATTATAATGGTTTATAAACCAACTTATAACTGGGGGGGCCCATCCTGTGTGAGTGTCAATATAACTTGATACTATTTGGTGACGGTTGGGATTGTGATGTAGTGATGCTGATTTAAGCAAAGATAGGGATACGTGCGGTATGAAAACAACCATTTTTTGGGAGGATAAAAGGGATATGGCTGGGGATATAATGATGTTTATTAATGGGATAGTCATGTATATATATAACTCACATAAAACACTCACTATGCTACTTGGGAATCATGCTAAATCAACCTCCAAAGGGATAATGAATCGTTGGAAACTTCCAAAAATGATGAGAAAACATCATCTAGAATCTATAAATTCATGGTCTCCTTGGTTTTTTGCCCCCCTTTGCGCAGCGATCCTTACATCCGTGGCTGAGAAGGTTCGCCATTTTTGAACTAGGAACCAGTAGTTCATAACATCTTGTTGGGAAAAAATATCATATCTTATACCACCCTTCAATTTGATGTTCCATGATTATCTTTAACGTTCTGAAAATTGTTTTTCCTACAGTTTTAAAACCATTTAACTGCTGTTTCCACTTCCGATTTTTTGCCAACCGGATTCTTCCTGGAAACCAATAAACTGTTGGGCAATTTGGCCAAGTAAATGGAATCCTTCCCCTTATCAAAACATGTTTTCCAACATTATTTAGATCTGTCTCAAAAGGGAGAATGGTACTCCAAAAGCCCTAAACGCTCGTCTTAGGGGAGAACATCAAATAAAACTGTGGCCAATCTTAGATACCCTGTAGAGGCAGTAGATTTTATATGGTTGGTTTGTCATAGGCCCTAGGCTATCCGTATTTACAACAAGAACATTAATGTTGTCTAAAATACAGTCTACTCAGTTGACCAACCGTTTACATCCCCAAGATCCAAAAATAGTATCCATTGTCCACGTCATACGATCCAGTTGACCTAGAAACCATAAATCATTATGACCCATTGCAGACATCCTCTTGTTATCCCATTTTATGTTGGATATATCGAAATGTTCTGTGAACATGCCCTGTATCATAGTTGGTAACCAATATCATAGTGCTGCTTACAAAATATAGATACGTCTACTTAACATCTTAACTGGGTTTATAAACAAACTTTTACACTGGCACCATCTTCTATGTATCCCAGGAAATTTATGGATGTTTATCCCAAAAAAAGATTGGTGGTTATATTAACCGTTATCTTGCTAATCATCCCAGTTCTTGTTCATGTGATCCATCCCTCCATCCCCGATCCGCAACAGCCCGCTGTGACAATCCTCACATTCAATAGCCAGTAGACATGGCTTTACCCATGGCAATTTCATGCAATTTCCACCATTTTCAGACAATATGGGGCCCACTTCACCATATTTAGCCATATATTGGATTACCGTATGTTATCCTCTATAATCATCAAGATTCATTGCTATGTTGTTGGCTATAATCTTGACTTGCTGTATCACAAGTATTGTGATCCCAATATATATATATATATATACATATAGATATATATATATAATTATCTGGGATAGTACAATCCTATATTCATGAATTGTTTGCTATCCCCTGAACATATCCCCATTAAATCGTCACAGGCATGGCTTGATCCGAACCTCTGAGGTCGGCGGTGGCACCGTTCGTCCGCAGAGGCCCTGGATGCTGCCTGCAGACGGTCGATTTACACAGCGATCTGCTGATTTCACCAGCGAATCTGGTGATTTCTTCAATAAATATGCAAAAATTGGCGCTTAACTACTAAGAAATAAATCTATGATACTAGGACGGCACTACACTCACTTGCGCACTTAGAAATTCACTCACTTACGCACCTGGGAAATGCACTCACTTGCGCACCTAGAAAATCACTTACTTACGCACCCGGGTCTCCATTTTATAATTAAATTACCAGGAACTTACGCTATCACGCATTGCAACCAAAGCGCCACGAAACCTTTAGGGTTTTTATCTTGTTGCATTTTATACGTAAATTACCAGGAAATTACGTTATCACGCGTTGCAAACAAAGAGCCACGACACCTTTAGGGTTTATATCTTGTTGCATTTTACACGTAAATTACCAGGAAATTACGCTATCACGCGTTGCAAACAAAGAGCCACGACACCTTTAGGGTTTATATCGTGTTGCATTTTATACGTAAATTACAAGGAAATTACGCTATCACGCATTGCAAACAAAGAGCCACGACACCTTTAGGGTTTATATCTTGTTGCACTTAATGTAAGGAGAGCCACGACACCTTTAGGGTTTATATCTTGTTGCACTTGATGTAAAAAGAGCCACGACACCTTTAGGGTTTATATCTTGTCTCACTTGATGTAAGAAGAGCCACGACACCTTTAGGGTTTATATCTTGTTGCACTTGATGTAAGAAGAGCCACGACACCTTTAGGGTTTATACCTTGTTGCACTTGATGTAAGAAGAGCCACGACACCTTTAGGGTTTATATGTTGTTGAACTTGATGTAAGAAGAGCCACGACACCTTTAGGGTTTATATCTTGTTGCACTTAATGTAAGGAGAGCCACGACACCTTTAGGGTTTGTATCTTGTTGCACTTGATGTAAGAAGAGCCACGACACCTTTAGGGTTTATACCTGGTTGCACTTGATGTAAGAAGAGCCACGACACCTTTAGGGTTTATACCCTGTTGCACTTGATGTAAGAAGAGCCACGACACCTTTAGGGTTTATATCTTGTTGTACTTGATGTAAGAAGTGCCACGACACCTCTAGGGTTTATATCTTGTTGCACCTTATGTAAGAAGAGCCACGACACCTTTACGGTTTATATGATGTTGTACTTGATGTAAGAAGAGCCACGACACCTTTAGGGTTTATATCTTGTTGTACTTGATGTAAGAAGTGCCACGACACCTTTAGGGTTTATATCCTGTTGCAATTGATGTAAGAAGAGGCACGACACCTTTAGGGTTTATATGTTGTTGAACTTGATGTAAGAAGAGCCACGACACTTTTAGGGTTTATATTTTGTTGCACTTAATGTAAGGAGAGCCACGACACCTTTAGGGTTTATATCTTGTTGTATTTGATGTAAGAAGAGCCACGACACCTTTACGGTTTATATGATGTTGTACTTGATGTAAGAAGAGCCACGACACCTTTAGGGTTTATATGTTGTTGTACTTGCTGTAAGAAGTGCCACGACACCTTTAGGGTTTATATCTTGTTGCACTTTATGTAAGAAGAGCCACGACACCTTTAGGGTTTATATCTTGTTGCGCTTAATGTAAGGAGAGCCACGACACCTTTAGGGTTTATATCTTGTTGTACTTGATGTAAGAAGAGCCACGACACCTTTAGGGTTTATATTTTGTTGCACTTGGTGTAAGAAGAGCCACGACACCTTTAGGGTTTATATCCTGTTGCAATTGATGTAAGAAGAGGCACGACACCTTTAGGGTTTATATCTTTAGAATTAGAAGTAGAAGTAGAAGTGGAAGCAGTAGAAGAAGTAGAACTAGAAGTGGAAATAGAAGTAAAAATAGAAGTGGGAATGTAAGTAGAAGTAGAAGTAGAAGTGGAAGTGGAAGCAGTAGTAGAAGTAGAAGTAGAAGCAGTAGTACAAGTAGAAGTAGATGTAGGAGTACAAGTAGAAGTAGAAGTAGATGTAGGAGTAGAAGTGGAATCGTAAGTAGAAGTAGAAGTAGATCTAGAAGTAGAAGTACAAGTAGAAGTAGAAGTGGAAGTAGAAGTAGATGTAGGAGTAGAAGTGGATGTAGAAGTAGAAGGAGAAGTGGAAATAGATGTAGAAGTAGAAGTAGAAGTGGAAGTAGAAGTAGATGTAGGAGTAGAAGTGGATGTAGAAGTAGAAGGAGAAGTAGAAATAGATGTAGAAGTAGAAGTAGAGCTGAAAGTAGAAGTGGAAGTAGAAATAAAGGTGAAAGTAGATGTAGAAGTAAACGTAGAAGTAGAAGTGGAAGTAGAAGGAGAAGTAGAAATAGATGTGGAAAAAAAGTAGAAGGACAAGTAGGAATAGAGCTGAAAGTAGAAGTGGAAGTAGAATGAGAGGTGCAAGTAGAGGTAGAAGTGGAAGATTCTCAGGTGCATAAGCGAGAGGATTTTCAGGTGCACAAGCGAGACGATTCTCAGGTGCACAAGCGAGTACCATGCCTACTAGGACTTCAGAAAGGATTGAGTAAGACTCTGGTTGGTGGTTGACCTACCCCTCTGAAAAATGATGGAGTTCGTCAGTTGCATAATGACATTCCCAATAATTATATGGAAAGTCATAATCCATTCATGTTCCAGTCACCACCAATCAGAAGTATACCTGGTGATTTCTTCGCAATTCTTCTTGGGACAAAACATTGAAAAATCGTTGGGATTTCTTGGGATCAAATGCATACCCTCCGGTAAACTAACGTAACTATGGAAAATCACCATTATTAATGGGTAATTCCGAAATTCCACTATAAATCACCATTTTCAATAGCTATGTTAGTCATTGCCAGAGGGTAAGAAAAATCCCTTCCTCCCCGTGCGAGAATCCCAACGGTGGGACCGGTGGGACCCGTGGGACCCCCCCAAGTTATAAGTTGGTCTATAAGCCCCATTATCTATAGTTAGAAGTATTATAAACTCGTAAACCATAGTTAGTGACTTAGTGGAGTTATGTTCACCAACTCAACTAGGCAGAAAATATCCCACCCAAAAAAAAAACAAAAATATCATCCAAGATATGATCTACAGCCCATTTTTTCCCCTTGGATTTGAGGACCCCCAAAAAAGGCAACGACCGTCACCATTCCGAGGCCTTTGAAGACTTGGCCCCGGACCTGAAAATTGGCAGAATCCGGGGGGAAACATCCCTGGGAAACCCGGAGAAAAATCAATGAACCATGGAGGATAAACATGGATATTCGGAGAAAATAGACTTGGAATAATGAATGCGTGTTTTTTCGTGGGATATGATGGAATTTGGATATATTTGATGGAGTTATAGCATCATATTTACTCGAATGTAAAATGTTCACAGATATGTGTTGAAGATGAGGCAGATGGTTGTACCAACATCAAGTGCTGCACTACCCTCTGGTAAACCAACAGTTTGCTATTGAAAATGGCCATAGAAATCGTTGATTTACCCACTAAAAATGGGGATTTACCATAGTTATGTTAGTTTACCAGAGGGTAAATCTCCATTGATCCCTATGAAAATCACCATTTATGATCATTATCATTATAACATATTATAACTTAAATTATAACCACTATTGACCACTATCAACCACTAGTAACCAACATCAGTATGCACCATATCAGGCTGTCAGGGATTGCTTTCCCAACTTGTTGTTCACTGCAGCTGTACCATGATGTACCATGCCCTGGTGATGGCTTCCCAGTACGAATGGAAAGTCCTGCAGTTTCGCTCAGCTGGGTTCGAAAAAAAGTTGTAACATCCCCGTGGTCCGGGGGGGGCTAGAAGTGGGACATCTATAGAGAAAAAATCCAAGGGGGATGTTGTAACCATGAATGTCAACAGTTCATGATGATGCACATCCCATTACATCAAAAACATGTAACAAATCACGACTAAGTCGGTCGGCAACAAAATCTCAATGCGGTAAACACAACTATAACTTAACCATCCCCGAGTCATCACCATTATTGTTGGTCATAAACCATCTCCAAATGGTAGGTGTATGACATTGGGTTTCCCACACTACATGCTTTGGTGCAACACCATTCCTAGTTGAGGTGATTTTTGAATGATAGCGCTGATAGCACTATCGAAATACACCAGCGCTTCAGGCAAAAATGAAGAGAGACAAGTTCACTCCAACAAGTTCACTCCAACAGGTTCACTCCAAGTTGTACCCCATTTTTTTATGACATGTACCATCTCTGGAAAGTCAGTCGGGTGATCCGACGGTTACGGGGTGAATTCTCTATGGTTGGTTTACCCTCTGGTTATGTCAAAATAGCTATTGAAAATGGCCATTTATAGTGGATTTACCCATGAAAAATGGTGATTTTCCATAGTTATGTTAGTTTACCAGAGGGTAATCATGTTGAATCCCACCTAGAACCAACTTTTGTGTTTTAATTCGCCGCAGCAGTTGTTTTGGCATCTCATTCTCGAAAACACAAGAAAACACCTCCAAATAAACGAATTACGAATTTCTTGGTCCAATATTATGATTCTGGTGGGCATCTCAACTTGTTGGTTAAATCTACGTACCCTCTGGATTGAACAAACACAGCCACAGAAAATCACCATGTTTGATCACAAATAAAAAACATGTTGCGTAGCTATATCTTCGATTCCCCTGATATTCCCATAAAACATCCCATACCCTCTGGTAGACTAACATAGCGAACTGGAAAATCACCACTTTAATAGGTAAATCAACGAACTAAATGGGCCAGTTTCAATAGCTATGTAGCAAATTACCCGAGAGTAAAACATCCCATGAAACATCCCATGAAACATCCTACCTTAGATTCCCCAAATATTCCCATATGATATTCCCATATTTAAAACATCCCATCATATTTTGAAGATCGGATGTGCTATCGAGGTGCTGGAGCGTCGGTGCAATGGTACAGTGGGTCCAAGAGAGGGTCCTGGCTGAAACGGTGCATCCGTTGCGGATGCTAAAAAAACGTAGAATATATGTATGTAATTATATAATAATATATATATAATCATTTCCCATTATATATATATTATATATATATTATATATTATATATATATTATATTATATATATATATATATTATATATATATATATATTATATATATTATATATATATATTATATATATATTATATATATAGTGAGATACTGTGTACAACCAAGAAAATGATCTCAATTCATCTCATTTGATTTCATGATATTCCCATGAGCAGAATCATCATATGGATATTCATCCCCAAAATATCAATTTTCCTATAGATATACATAATCAGACGTCTTTCCGGAATATATGATCTTGGGGTGTGTCTGGAGTGCCCCTGAACGTGCTCAAAGCCAAGGCAGGGCACTCCATGAGGGTACTCCATGATGGCTAGCCAGCCGTTCAGTTCTTAAAGATCTATGGAAGATGGCTAGTGTTGCACATGCTGTGGATGGTTGCAAAATCCTGAGTTGGGATTCCTATTACTCTCGTGTAGGATTCCTATGAAACACTGTAACGGGATTATAACATATTATCTATAGGAATTTGGAACCATCTACCAACTGGTATTAGATATCTGTAATATAGAATCATATAGAATCTATTGCATATTTGGGGGAATCTTTTGGTTTTAACATATTAGATATTCCTGCATAAACCATCTACCAACTGGTGCAGGATTTCACGTGAAAAAAATGATCAGATCCCATCCACCATCTTGGCCCTCAGCAAGTGGTTCGAAACCCAAAAAGGCCCTGTGTGACACTGTGGGGATGTGCAAAACTATCGCATATCTACATGTATATACTGTTATAATATAATCTTCGAATAATCGAATATCTACATGTATACTGTTGTTCTAAGAGTTGTAATTAATAATATACACTTACTGTTTTAAAATGGTTTAAACATGTTTAAACATACATAGCTGGAGTTGATACATGGTGATACCATGTCCATTTCGCGATAGCTACCCCGAATCCTAGCCGCGTGAAACCTCCATGGCATTCTCACCCGACACCGGAGTATTGTCATATGCTTTGGATCAAAATTTGGGGCCAGAGATTTTCCTTGAACTAACATCAAAATGGTGATTTAATGAGGGTTTATGGTGGTTTAATGGGATTTAATGGGATTTACCCTCTGGTAAACGTTTACATTTTGCGAACTGGAAAGATCCACCATTTTCTAGCTGGGTAAATCAACGATTTCGACTGGGCCATGGCTTCAATAGCTATGTAACAAATTACCGGAGGGTAACATCAAGCAAAATTTATATCCAATTGTTCGGGGTACCGAATAACTTGACCCATACCCATACATGCTCATATGGGGCTTTCTTAAAATGGGGGATCCCCAAGTCACCGTGGGTTTCAATACTATTTTATGGTCTAATGACTTGGATGACTTGGGGTACCCCTATGACTTTACTTAGGAAACCTCCATATGGTGAATCTTAGATACCTGCCAAAAAAAAACTGGTTAGTACATTTTACTATTGATAGCCAAAGATTAAAGTACTAAAGTATCTAATCAGTCGTTTGACCCAGTTATGAATTCTACCTGTGAAACAGCACAGCCAGGATCCACAGGTATCCTGCTCTCTGCAACTCACCATGCGCAGGTTGGTGCACAGAGATCTGGCGAAGCTGCAAAGGCCAACAAATCGGTCAAAAAGTGGGCGGCTACACCAACTGTTTAAGGGGTAAAGGACCTTTGGGGGTTATTCCAAAGTAACTTATGGCAACAATTAGTTGGTTGAGGTTGTTTTGACTATGAACGACATGACCCATGTAATTTGCCACTGATTTACCACTTTAGGATACTCTAGGGAGGTTCGTTTTATGTCCAAAAAATGCCGAAAAAACATCTGGCATGTGTCAAAACCATCATTTTTTTAGCGGGAATCCAGTGGGTCATCCCATAGGTCTTGGGACCCAGCTATCCCCAAGCATAGGAAAACCATATGACAACCATAGGAAAATGGTGATTTTACCAGCAAAGATATGGCGATTCGCAAATTTTTGTAATGTGGTTAAGACCAAACATGAGCTACACAGCTATGTGGTGATAATATATGATAATATATGGTATATGTGATCATATATGGTTATTTACACAGCTACGCCTCTCTCAGAATATATTGGTTGTTATTTTGTTTCCGGATTTTGTCGGAAAATATGGTAAAGTCCAGTGGTTTTTATCGCTTACCAAGTTATTGCATGCCAAATTGATACCAATTTCATCCACTTATTAATATTCATTCACTCGCCATTTTCAGATAGACCCATATGCCAAGTTGATGCCAATTGTATAGCCAGTTCATACAAACTCTATACACATCTCATACATGTTTGTGCTAAGATCTTTGGAAAATCCATGGTAAATCCATCATTTCTGGAGGCCCTGGAAGCCCTCCACTTCCAGGGCACCTGGAGGTGGCAACAGCCCAGCCGACCACTTGATTCTGGTTCCTTGGGAAATTGGGATGATCAATGATGGTTTCCATGGAAAACAAGGAGGGATCGAAATGGGTAAAAACGGGTAATTTTTTTAGGTCCCCTGGTGCTAAAAATTCTAGTTTTTTATGTTTTTTTCAGCACTAAAACAAAAAATAGATTTCAATGGATTTTGGAAGCCCAGTGGAGTTCAGAATCGCTAAGGTTTGGTTTAGTTCACTGGGTTAAATAAGTTGGGTTTTGTGGTAGTTATCACTACCTCCGTAGATGGGATAAACCAACAAACACAACCAGGGGGGGTTCCCAAACCCACTGCGCAGGACTTTCAGACCCCAAGTTTGGCTTTGTCTGGCAATTTAAGGAGAAAAAAACAGCAAAATCCAGTGATTACTGATTACTGATCATGTTCTCCCTTAAAAAAAAAAATCAGGTGTATGACAGTAATCAATAATTTAAACAATAAATAATTTCAGTGTTTATGTATAATTATGTTTATTTACTGAACATAAACATCCCGCCGGACCGGAAACCGTTCCCATAAAACGCATGTTTTTTTAAAAAATGGTGATTTTACCACAGTGCCGTGCTGATTTGATGATTGGAAATCCTGGAAAAACTTGGGGCGCGTTTTTTGGCTTTTCAGCGTCATCGCTGCAACGCATGCGTAGCAACATGTCACGTAGTCAGCGATCCCAGAGATCTTAGCAGCGTAGCAACATGTAACGTCGTAAACGATCCCAGAGATCTTAGCAGCATGGCAATATATCATGTACGAAGTACAAGGAACGTTAACATGCCCCCCCACCCCACCCCAACCCACACTAGAGACCTCAGCAGCGTAGCAACATGTCACGTAGTAAACGATCCCAGAGATCTTAGCAGCATGGCAATATATCATGTACGAAGTAAAAGGAACGTTAACATGCCCCCCCACCCCACCCCATCCCACCCCAACCCACAATCGCGATATTCAAAAACGTGCGTTTTACGGGAACGGTTTTCGGTCCGCAGGCATAAACATGAACATGTTTATTTCAGGTGTATGCCCCCAATTGTTCCTGAATTCGACAGTTGCACAACTTTCTTCGCCAAGGATCAAGCAGCCCGCACTGATCCGATAGCGTGTCGTGCACGGCGCCCACCTGAGACGGTGGAAGGGCGATATCCCAACGTGGGAATTGAAAACATATGGAAAAAATATATAGAATCAAAGGTTTAAAAAAAATGAGAATAGATCCTATAAGAAATAACGTCATGATTCTAAAGTTGGGCCTTTTCTTTTTGAAAAACACAACGCGTACCTGTCATCCGCATGCCTCCCTCTTTTTGGGCCGCCCATTCTTTTTAAGGCCAAGCCGAGGGGCTCCAGAAAGACGGGGGCGATGCGATAGTTTTCCATAAATCCAGGTGGAACTGTGGGTTCGATCTCGCTACCTCGGCAGTGGCCGACATGGCTGGGATCGATTTTTTCCTCCGATCAAACATGGCTAGCGGTATTTTCTGTCATCAATTGGTATTTCAAGGGGAACAACACCTATATAAATCATGACTTTGTTATTTCATCATCTCTATGTTTGATTACCAGAGGGTAGCACATCCATCCAGTTGCCTGACCCACGACAAATGCTGGAAACCGTGTTCCTGGTACAGGGTTGGCATGGGACAATCTATATGAAACCATGCATGTTCATCGTCTATGAGCATTTCCTGTATTCCTTCAACCAAATTTGGGATGTAATGCTTCGGACTGTGAAACGATAAAAAAAAATAGAAAAAGGACGCCTTTTTAGTCCTGTTTTTTCATAGCTGATATCCGGAAGGCTCAAGTAGCAAATGCGTGTGGTTTATACCCACTAAATCTCACCCTGAAACATCCTCAGAGCTGCTGGGACAAACCTTTTTTGTGTCTCGACCCCAAAGAACGTCCTTTTTTCATCATATTCCATGGCCAAACTTGAATACACTGGCGAAAAATCTAGTTCATCAAAGAATTTTTAGAAATTGGCGTATGAATCCCCATTTTTTTGTTGCAAACTAAAGGCTTCACTAACCCATCCAGTTGGTTGACCCCATTTTTTTCTCCCGTGAAAATCCACCCAAAAATTCTCAGTGAAGTCCCCATCGTTCCATCGTTGTTTTCACAACACCCCAAGGCGATCGGATTGATTTTCCCAGGGTAAAACTCGGAGATTCCGAGTTCCTTCTCCCCAGTACCATTGGCTCAAAAAATCAACATTCAATCACGGTTGATTTCCTTGATCGGTGGATATGAGTCACACTAAATCACGATTAAGTCATGTTAAGTCAAGATTAAATTAGCATTCAATCACTACCAAATCGCCATTCAGTCAACATTAAATGACTATTAAACCACCACTCAATCACCATTAAGTGACTATTCAACCACCATTAAATAACCATTAAATAACCATTCAACGACTATTCAGTCACCATTCAATCACCATCAAGCGACTTTCTAATATCCATTGAACCACCATTAAATGACTTTTCAACCACCATTCAACCATTAAATGAGCCGATGTGACAAGCGCCCAGCGACTGAAAGGCTCGCGGTTGTTCACCACTTCCGCGTCTCGGTAACGACTGAGGCCTTAAAAGTTCACCGAGTTGACCAACAAGTTTTCGTGGAGTTCACCGTGAAAAAATGATGGTGAATTAATGGTGATTTAATGGTGATTTAATGGGATTTAATGGGATTTTATGGTGGTTTAATGGGATTTAATGGGATTTACCCTCTGGTAATTTAACGTAGCTATTGAACATGACCATAGAAATAGTGGATTTTCCCAGCTACAAAATGGTGATTTTCAATAGCTAAGTTAAATTACCAGAGGGTACTTCAACCAACAACAATGAGGATTTCCACCACCAAATGTGATGCGAAAAATTCGAAAAATGAATTGAGTTCATTGGAGGGGGAACATTTACAGAACTTTGTGCGAGCCGGCGCAGTCGAAACGCATGTCAAGATTTCACAAGAGCCACTTTATACGGAAATTTACAGTGAGCACCCTGATCAAGCACCGGCCTTTACACCTACCGTAAGAACCCCTCAGTGTGGACACACTGTTTGGGGAACATTCACATTCAAAGGGTCCATCATCTGTAGCTACTTCCCAAAGCACTTATTTCACTGTTGTTTTAATGTTTTTTTACTAACCCACTTACATCCACTTACTAAGTAGGTTCCCTAAGTTTTCGAGATTTCCTGGGTATGTTGCACTATGTTGTATTAAAAACACTAGGTTGTATGCTAGATATATTAAATGTTAGTAATGTGGTTAAAAACAATAATAAACCATCCCCCAAATCACCATAAATAGGTGGTATAAACCATTCCCAAATGGGTGGTTTATTCTTGTTTTAACCACATTAATATATTCTAAACTGGTTAGTAATCAAAATTCAGCACTAGATAAGTTGTATCACCAGCCAGGCATGCCGGTGAAACATCCACCGTGAAAGATATGCATCATGCGGGATCATACGTTCCAGCGATCATGAAGAACTCATATGAACTAATATAAACTAATATGATACGTATTAATAAATATATATATATACGTATATAAGTATTATTACATTGCATTGTCTAATATTATATTATAGTATATGTTAATATATTATAGTTTACAATATATATTATATTAAATTATATTATAAATTATATTATATTATAGTATTTTATGTCATGTATTAGTTTATTTTGCTATATATAAAATAATATAATATGATATAATATAATATTAAAATATAATATACATTTAAACAAAAAAATATAATATATTATAATATAATAAGATATAATATAATATAGTATATTATATTATACTATATTAAACATATTATATTATATTAGTGTGTTATTGTATTATATCAAATTATATGATATTATATATCACATGTTATCATAGATTATCTTATATTATATATTATATTATATTATACATTGTTTATATTATATATCAAATTATTCACTATATATTAATATTATATAAATATTATTTAGTATCATATATTATATATTAAATATTATATATTATATTGTGTTATATAGCATATCATACATTATAGTATATATTGTATATTAAATAATATAATATGTAATATATAATATATAATATATTTTATATTATATATTACATATTATATATTATATTATACATTATATCTAATATATTATATATTACATATTATATTATTTATATATTACATTATTCTATATTGTATATTATATAATTATATATATTTCATTATTCTATACTGTATATTATATTATTTTATATTGTATACTGCGTATTTTTGTTATTATTACTCTATTACATCCACAATGTTCATGACTAATAGTACTCTATTAAATCATGTATGAACTTCCCCGTGACGCCAAGTCACGTGGCACGTTGCGGTTGTGCACCGTCTTCTGTAGGGTCTCTGTGATGCCCTGGATGGGTGGCTAGTTTACCCAGTTATAAATGGGACACCCTCTGGTAAACTAACAGTTAGCTATAGAAAATGGCCCATATATAGTTGACTTACCTATTAAAAATGGTGATTCTCCAGTTCGCTATGTTAAATTACCAGAGGGTAACCCAGTTATAACAGGGACTTATGATCACCTGGGCTATGAAGATTTATTAACCAGACACTAAGTTGACCGTCCAGGTACCATCTGTTTTTTTTAATATGGCTATGGACAATCACCACTTTTAAAAAATATCCATACATGGGCATTTTTCCATAGCCATGTTAAACTATCAAAGGGCAAATGGATAATCTAACCCTATGAAATAAAGCAGATCAATGAAACATCCCCATATCATATATGCATCATATATATATAATATATATATATGTATGTGTGTGGCTTATTAATCATGTACATGGAATGCAGCTCCAACTTTGGCAAGATACCAGGCGGTGCCCGCAGTTGTAAGTTGGGTTATGTTCGCCCATCTAGTTGGGTGTATCCACCACAGATTCAATCATTCACCCAGCTATACTAACTTGGCTGAGTACGCTGCATCACCTTGAATGATGCGATATGATTGGAATCTCAAGCAAAATCGTGTGAACACAGTTGAAACAGTGGAAATTTCGCATCCATCGAGGTATTAGAAAAAAAACACCCCCATTCAACCAACGAGACCATGGTGTTCTCTAGGGAATAAGGAAACATTCCATTGGGACCATGCGCAACCTGGGGGTGTTTCAGATTCGAACGGGTGATGAGAAGCTCCGCAATCCCCGAAGTTAGTTACCAGATTTCTGGATGGCCGTTTCGCCAAGATGAAGCCACCAGGCTAAACAACCCGTTTTTGGGGCTAAACAATGGGATCTAATTGTGATATAATGGGGATGTAGTTGGGAAATTATAATTTATATAATTGTGATATATGTTTTGAGGTTTCCGAAAAATATACGGCGACCCCCAAGTCTAGTCATTGCCTGAAATCAGGGCCCTTCGCCAAGTGGGTGGAAAATTCCCGCCCAAAAATCCATGGTCACTTGGGGAATCTCATGGATGATGTGATACTCCTCAGTTGTTGGGGATCATCCTCAACTCGCTGTGGTATCTGGCCCAGTCGAAAACGTGATGGATAGTAGTCTGGCCCAACAGGATACCTTGACTCCAACGAAATTCTGTTTCAGATTAGAAACATCGATTTCATGGAAACTTTAAGATAACTGATATTGTATATATATATAAATACTTCACATCCCAATTTCGAATAGTGAGCATGGAATATGCCCAATTCCAACCTCACTTAGAAGTTGCCCGATCTTTCTTCGGAAACCCTTCACCTTCGCCAGAGATGCCTTCGTCAGGTTGAGCGCCACAAAGCCGTCGTGCGCGCGGAAGTAGCGGTAGGATCCCAGAGTCAACTCTGTCAGGCTGATGTCCTACCAGCACAGAGAGGTGATGGCAATAGCCGTGATGTGAATGTTGGTTTAGTTTCACCCCATGAATACTATAATAATTATAAGATGTTATAAGATGTTATAAGTTATCTAAGACACCAATACTTGTAAGATCTGATAAGTATTTCATAAACCCTAGTGAAATCGGAGCTATGTTCACCAGCTTGGCGATTTCGTAAACGGCGGCCCCGACTTTTTTTCAAACTGCCCTCGGGGACATGTCTCCAATATAGCTCTATATAGTCGGTGGAATGGTCGAATGGCAAGATGTGGATATTTGGGATTGGTTTATTCACAGTTGTAGGTAGACACAGTTCAGGATAATTCTGGGGTAAGTTGGTTTTACTCGAGAAAAATCAGGTTTTTTTAAACTTACCCCCTATGTTAGGAAATCTTAGCACCAGAGTGTGACAAATATTTACTCATGTTTATTGTGTAACCCAAAAATTGTTAATTAATTTGAATTGCATCTGCATTCAACACAAATAGGCTAATACTAAATCAATATAGTCTCGAAATAACCCCAATATAACCCTTAAATAAGAAAATATAGGAGATATGCTCCTGAGGGAAGGTACTTCAAGCTATTGTGGGCCATGGTGTCCAATTCCTTGTGTTCACCACACTTCGCACCTTTTCTGGCCGCCAAGACACAGGGTTTGTATAGAGACACAATGTCTCGCCCTTTCTGGTATTTATTTCATCCTTGTCATTCGACAAGATGGTGTCTCATGGTAGAGACATGTTCAGAATTGAACCACACATCTCATGGTAGAGATGAAAGTTGTTTCATGGTAGAAACATTTATAGCAAAAACCTTCCGAAATAAACAGCAGATTTGAAATTTCATCACGGCTGTCCCCTCACCCAAAAAGGGCGGGGGTGGAAGGGAGAGCTTGAACCTAAAGCAAGTCAGAAGTCGGCCAATGGTGGAAGTTGTTCACACAAACAGTTCTAAGAACATTCTTGTGTTCACCACACTTCGCACCTTTTCTGGCCGCCAAGACACAGGGTTTGTATAGAGACACAATGTCTCGCCCTTTCTGGTATTTATTTCATCCTTGTCATTCGACAAGATGGTGTCTCATGGTAGAGACATGTTCAGAATTGAACCACACATCTCATGGTAGAGATGAAAGTTGTTTCATGGTAGAAACATTTATAGCAAAAACCTTCCGAAATAAACAACGGATTTGAAATTTCATCACGGCTGTCCACGCTTCCCAGCTTGCGTCCGCACAAATGGAACTCCAGTTGTGCTTACCAAGAAAAAGTTGTCACAAAGTCCAGGGTATGTTGACTGCATTTAATGGAAGGAATGAAACTGAGTGCATCACTTATGTATAAACGGGCAACGCGGGTTGATTCCCAGCGCCCGCGAAGTAACGCGGTTTCCATGCTATTTGTACACTGAAAAAGATGCGTAGCTCCGCCACGTCGTAATGAATACGGACGAAACTGATATTTATTCAGATCCATAAGGGAACAAAGTGAATTAAACCGCGTTCTGAATTGAGCAGGAGTTCCGGACCACAAAGGAAGAGAACCTAAATTCTGTTTCAAACGACATTGCACCAAAATTCGTAGAGTTTCCAAAACAAGCATATCAGTAATGCTAATAGCTTCGTCAGCATTGTGCCGTATGCCCGATTTGGTGTGCTTTAAAGAGCATACTCCTGCCGTCTTGCCAAGTTGAAAGTCATTAGCAGTAACAGAAAGCATTTCTCCTGTGCGCAGCAAACAGTGAAAACTGAGAAGTAGTAAAACCGCCATCTCAAAATTATTTTCAGACCATTCATAGGCAGACATAGCTTTCACCAACGTAAGGGTGAGTGGTGGTGCCCTTGACGGCACCTCAATTTTCCTCCAGACTGAAAATAATTTCCAACTGTGCGGCAAACGCTTTCTAGTCCAAGGTTGATAAAAATGTAATGCACTGAGCCCATCTCCAATTGTTAACAGAGGCTCGCCTGTGCGCCACATCTTTCGAATCCATCTACATACGTAAGAATCCAGAAATTCTTCCCCGGGGCATTGCTCCACATATGGTAAAAGCTTGCGAAGTGCGCTGTAGTATCGAGTCAGGGTTTTCTCAGTAAGAGCAGCATCTTCTAATTGGATGCACGCCCTTTGTCTCACCCGCTCTGCACGGGAAAACCTCCCAGCAATCAAACGGGGACGCCGATCTTGATGATCATTGTCGCGACCCCTCATCGGCAGGGTTCTCTGATGATTCGATATGCCCCATGATCATCTGAATGCCAAATGCAAGAAGGTGAGCAGAAATCTGATTGAGAACCCTTGTCAATTGCAAACTTCCACTACGCCCCTTACTTACAACACTCATCCCAACGTATGAATCAGTGAATTGACAAACTCGTTGATCTTGTGCTTTCAGCCTGGTAATCTGAAACTTCAGACCCAGTAAAATTGTTTCAAGTTCCAAAACGTTGATGTGTGAAGTTTGTTTCCATCTCGTATGAAATGCATGATTCCACTTCCACCAGCCGGCTGAAACTGATTGACGCGGGAATGCACGTGAATTTAACACATCTCCAGAAATAACCCTGATGTCGCTCCCTGTATGGTTTGTCTTTCTCAGCAAAAACCGATTAAGGATTTGAACCCCCTGATTGAAAAGATTTGAATGGTGTCCAAAACTTCCATATGCCAATGAGCGTGTCAACGGAATCTGTGCTTTCAAAACAGGTCTGAACCCAGGTGCAGCCCCCATTCGTTTCGCCAGGTGTTTATAGGAAAGTTTGGGCAAGAATCGTTTGGAACATGCAGCTGCAAATAAAATGAAAGAATAAACACTGAAGCAGTCTCCCAACAGTTTGTGACGGCTGTCTGAAAAACCCACTGGATTTTGTTTGATTCGAGACGCGCTCCATGCCAATGCTGTATGCTTATACCCATACCCCATTAGGAGTTCTTTCTCCTCAGCATTTACCAGCCTCCAAGTACTGTTAGTTGTAAATAAGAACTTCTCATTGTATTGATATGGGGGGTACCTAAATGAATCTTCCTGCCAACGCCGACAAGTGGCTTCATTACATTTTTCCAACCCCGCTGGTCGTTCAGGAGGGGACCGTCTCGGTATACTTTTCAAACAAGTGGGGAGCACTGCTCCCGAAGCATATCCATCCCAGGAATAACTTGGCGTAATCCACTGATTTAACTCCGGGTATTCCGCCTTTGCTGTAACCTGATACCAGTACCGTTGCTTCTCAACCTGAATGTCATGAAAACAGCCACTTACATCTTCAGATGTCCAACAAAAACGGGGTCTTCTCATAGGCACAGCGTCAGCGCAGTCTACCCTGTATGGCCAGGTTTCCATAAATTCACTGATCTCCCTTGCTGCAGACTCATCCATGGAGGCTACATTCTCAAGAACATGACGCAAAACAACTGAGCTCCCAAACTCTTGGGCAAAGAGATCTCTGACCCGGGGAATCTCCCAAAACAGTGAACTTTGAGGTCCTTCTAAATTGGCACGGCCAAACTTGACCGAGGACAAGTCCACGCACGGCCAACCAGCCCACAAGTGAATCTCCTCAACTCGGAGAAATTTCAAGCTCCATGACCTAACAAGAGTTCGGTCTATGCTTCGAATGTCTTTCACCATAATACACCCTGGCCACCTCCGTGACGTAACCCGATTTGCTGATTCATCTATGTCCACTGCTATGCGCCCCATAGGTTCCAAACCCAACATGTCATACGATCGGAAAGCACCTCCAATGCCGTTGAATAAACTCACAATTAAAATGGGAGTGACCCCAGCTCCTCTGACCTTTTCTTGATGTTCTGCAGCTTCCACAAAGTCTCTACCTTGTTTAGTTAACTCAGTCCCCAACTCTACCGAGCCTCCAGACTCTGAGGCATCAGTGCAAAGTACAAAATCACTGACTCCAGCTCCCAAATTGCAGTGAAGAAGCGGGGCAACTGAAATCAGGCACAAAAATTCCTGCTTTACTATTTCCCTCAGCTGAGCTGTCAGAGGCGTCTTGCTGCCAATAAACTTCCACGTCTTCTGAAGGTAACCCATTGCCGGTCTCCTAAATTGTAAAATGAAGATCCATCTCCCAGCAAGGATTTGAGCATGCTTGCGATTCAGAAAACGCCGTGAGAGCATCCACAGTGTTGCCTGGATTACTTTGACTAGCTTCCCCGTAGAGACCCCGAGTGTTTTGTGGTCACCATTGATCTCTGCTCCAAGTTCAGTGGCCTCACGGGCCGCCGTCACCCTTTTCTTTGCTGAGGACACTACCCCTGCGCTTTCCCAAGCTCGTTCAACCAACTCATGACACTGCAATGCTCCAGCTGCTGTATCGCCCGGGGTGATCCTTTCTCCACCAGCGTAGTTGTCTAAATAGACATGCCACCAACTGCAATTCTGTTCCCCTGCTTCATCCAAGATTGAATTCATCCATGGCGGTAGAGCACGCCCCCGAGAAATTTGATTAATGCTATGAAGACCCCTGGTTGACAACAAATTCTCAGAAATTTCCTGCATTACCCCCACGCTATTCAACCATCCCATTGGTATCACATTACAGCACAAAGCATAAGATCTTCCTGCAGTGCAGTTGATCTCAGTCCCATCAACGACAATGTTGAACGCCAAATGACCTCTCCAAACTGCCGGAAGTTTAAATAGATAGAATGCTGAACACATATCAGATTGATGAATCCTGATCTCCTGATTATCATCAATCACAATGCTCTGCCATGATGCAATGCTGGGTAAACTCGAACAGCCACCTTCCAACTGAAGTTGTGTTGCATTTGATCCAGTCAAGTTCATGATCAACCTGAGTACTACTCTACCATCACTAAGCGAAGAGGGTTTTGCAACACCAAACAACCCGTTCAACACCTTGGTTCCTTTCACGGAGTAAACTTGCTCCAGTGGAATCCAATCACAAACATTCCTAGCCACAAGTTCATGTGCAATGCGCATCCGATCCTCTTCTTTAATGTGTATTTTACCAGGCATTCGGGGAAGAACCACATCATCCTGAGGTTTAAGCAACAGTTTTGGGGAAGTCAAAAAGTCGCGTGTTCGAGGTCCAACCCAATTTAAAGTGTCGATGCATCCCCCATGATCTGCAGGGGGCAGGGCTGGTTCAACCTGCTCCCAAGTTAAAACATGACAAACCGATTGTTCTTCTCCACTATACCCTACCTGACGGCTCCCCACATCTTTTTGCCATTCCATCTCGGAAGTGGGGTGAGCCACAGAGCGACCATTGCGCCTTTGCACAGCGCTCTCTAAGGATAACACCACGCGACGCTCGGAGACACTCCAGCGCCCAGGTCCTAATCTTGCCTTTTCTCCAGCCAAATGATTCAAGGCACACATCATCGTATAGACCCAAGCCTTACACGACCATGTATCTGCAAAGGCAGCATCGGCCATTTGAGCCAGCGCCTTGGTTGCAAAGATCTGGACCAGATCACTAAGCTCTCCCTCCCTGAGAGGAAAAGTCACGCCCTTACGTTGTTTTCGGGCTGACTTGGTCTTGGCGACATCACGTAGCCACAAGCTTCCAAATTCTTGCAAAATGATATCTGAGCGAAAATGCGCAGCATCGGCGACCGCTAGCCAAGCAAGCATGCACCCTAATTGGTCAAATGAAGTGCACGCTCCCATCGCTTCTTTCAAACAGGCCACTGATAGCTGCACTGTAACATTAGCCTCAGCGCTTGAATTCTCCACGGCCATAGCCAGAGAATGATCTCTCCTTGCATCACACCTGCCTATTTTTCGGGAATTTTCTCCTTGATCTTGGAGTCCCCGTCCTTCTCGCTGGAATTCCAACTCTTCGCCTTTCCTTTTCCTTTGTTGCCTTTCTTCCCTTTGCCTTTGCTGTCTCCTCCACCTTCGTGCCAGTTTGAATTGCGTCCTCTGCCTCCTTTGCCCTTGCTTCCGCTGCTCCACGTCCAAGCGTCGCCTGACGCTAGCTTTGCTGCTAAGCGTGCATGGCGCTTTGCTTCCAGCACCACCTCGGGCCCTGCCGCGGTGCCATCTTCCAACGGCATGAGCTCCAGATGCCTGGCTGTGGTCCAGGTTCCGTCCAGCACACTCTGATGCACGGACATGAACCGACCTGCCAAGACATCTCCCAGGGAGTCCAACTCCCCTTGGCGTAGCAAGTCTAACGCCTGGGAGATGTGGTGCAGCTCTCGCGCTTGCCCCATCGCGTTCTGGGGCCGCACACAGATCGCGAAGTACGACCCCATCTTGACGCCCTTGACCACGCTCACAGAGTCTTCCCCTCCGATTCCGACCTTTGACGACTGGTCCAACTGGCTTCGAGCGTGTTGAAGTAGCATCTGAAGAACGCTTCCAGGCTTTTTCTTGGATCTCCTCTTGAGCGGTGCTGTGAGCTTCTCCTTCTGGCTGCTCGTGGAACCCGAGGAGGCGCCACCCCAGCTGTCTCCGGAGCTCCCCGTCGGTGAGCTCCCACGGGGAGAACTGGGATCGCTGCCATCCCTCTTGGGCTTCCCCCGGCGCTTCTTCTTCTTCTTCTGATCTTTCGGATGACGCCCCGAACTGCTGCCACTGCCTTCCGACCCACCCCTCCGCTTCCGTCCCCCCTGAACAGCAAGAGTAAGGATCTTGGCCAACTTGTAGCTGGGGTCTTTCCGATGATGGCGCTTCTTTTCCTCTCTTTCTTTCTGGGCCTTCTCTTGGGCAATCTCCTGGGCTTTCAGAACCAGTTGAGTCTGCAAGGTTCTCAAAGTGCCATCTTTTGTAACCTCGCGGCTGCCCTCTCGGGGGCGAACAGGGCCCCCAGCGTCCTTCTTCTTCTTCTTGGTAGGTTCTTCTACCTCGACTGGCTTCTTCCAAGGGTCTTTCGGGGGTACGGCAGGAGGTCGGTTCGGCTCCAAAGGGTCGAGTTCCAGGGCTCTCTCCCTCAGATTCTCCTCCTCCACAACTGAGGCGGAATAGCCTGGGGAAGGTGAGAGCTCTACCTGCTTGGCAGCTTCGACATCTCGCTCGGCACCATCGCCAGCGGGTCGAGGAGGCCGCCTGTTGAGCATCTTTTCCCGAGCATGTTCCAGGCGAGCACGTAGGCGTATCCTCTCCTCCTCTGTTGCTAGGCGCTTGCCAGCCGGTTTCTCTTCTTCTCGTCTCCTCTTGTCGCCTTCTCCAACATCTGCCCTGGCCTTGTCGCCAGGAGTGTGTTTGGGCGTGTCGCCCTTGGCTCTGGGGTCCAAGGGTGGCTCTCCTGTCCTGTCCCTGCCATCTCCATCGTCTTCCTCTGGAAGCTCCTGGTGTAGCTCCTGTCACGTCCACAAACGCTTCTCCTATCTCGTCGAAGGGCTCCAAGACCCACTTGGCGATCTGCCGCTTTGTGTAGGTGTTCATGTAGGATCGCTCGAAAGCTGCCAGGTCGAAAATTCGGACCCTTGTGACATGGAGCGTGTACTCGTCGACCACTACGCAAGGCTTTGATGCGCAGAAATGAATTGAGCCCACGCGACGGTTGAAGCGTCCTGACAACCAGCGGGACCAGTCCGGATCTGAGCAGCCCAAACTCCTCACATGGGCCACATAGTCTCCATGTTGTTGAATCAAAACCTGCTTGACCCAAAAACCGGCCCACAGGTCTCCTCCGCATTCCACATTTGTGCTCGGCAGATGAACTTCCACAATGTCCTCTCGCTCCACTGCAAGATTGTTCCATTCTGTAATATCCTCAAGGCGGTATTCCTTTCCACTAGGTCTGTCCATACTAGCGTCGGTCCTCGCGCGGCCTTTAGCCAGCAAATGACCTATCTGATTGCCAGTGACTCCTTGGTGGTCGCTGATGAATAACCAGTTCAGGGTTGTCCAACAACCTGTACTTCCTTGCGTGCTTGGTTCCTCCGCGTGAACCACGCCCTTTCCTCTTCTTGCCTGATTCTCTCCTTCTTGGGAGCTCACAACGATCGTCCAGGTGATCCTGACGGTGTTGATCTTCTTCTCGATGTCCAGAACGATACTCTCGTGGAGGATGTGGTGGTTCTGGAGGTTTTGGTGGCTCCGGAGGCCGTCTCGCAGGATCTGATTTCCCTGCAGCGCCAGTCACCAAAGGGGAGTCTTCTTCAGATTCCTCCTCCTCCTCACTCTCACCGTCAGTGGACGGGGGAGGCGACTTGACCCTAGGCAAGGGAGCACGACTGCGCTCACGGTGGGTATCACCAGAGTGCCGTCTGTCCACACCACTGGCCTGAGGTTGCTCAGCACTTCTTGTAGCAGCTCGGGATGCCCCAGCGCTTTCAATGCTGCCCGCAACGGTCCTCAGTGCACTGACCGCGCGTATAGCACTTACGACAATGTCGTTGGCCACACAGCGGAGAGCAGGAATGGACCAGCGTGCGTGCAACTCAGTATTTAAGGCCTCAAGTGCTGTGCAACCCTGACACCAAGAATCGTTACCCTGAGCCTTACACTGACGGCACTTAGCGCAGTTCATTCACTAGAGAGCTTGAACCTAAAGCAAGTCAGAAGTCGGCCAATGGTGGAAGTTGTTCACACAAACAGTTCTAAGAACATTCTAGGAATTACCCCATTGCTTTGCAGGGCTGAATCAAAATCTTCTGCACATCTTCTCCCGAGTCAAACTCTATATAAATCTCTTATCTTAGGATGTCCAAACTAACGAATTATATACGGACTGGTTGAAAAGTGTGGCGACAGCAAATCATGGATTTTCCATGATTTTCCCACGGACCTCAAAAGGGTGCAACAACAACAGGAAAGATATGGAAAGATGAACAATAGAAAGGACATGAAAGGTACAGATGTTCTATGTGAAAACTACCCTTTCCAACTCAGCTCCTCGTTGCCACCATCTGGTAGTCCAAAGGCTGCCCGGTCGCCGGGGCCAAAGTACCTGGAAGTGACTGGTGTTCAACCCAAATTTTGGATGATTCCTAGGGTTTTTGGTGTTTCCATGTGTTTCCTTGAAGTTATCTATCACTGGTTGGTGGTTTCAACCCCTCTGAAAAATATGAAAGTCAGTTGGGATTATGATTTATTTATCGCAATATATGGAAAAAAAACAAAATGTTCCAAAAACCACCAACCAGTATAATAATTAGATCATAATTTTGGGATATGTTGGGTGTGTCCTAGATGACATTGTTTTCGACCACCAACCACAAAGAATGACCTACAATGATCAGAACACAGGGTTGCTCCAAATACCCCAAATGCAGTATAGTCTGTATATACTTTGGAAAAAATTGTTCAATAAAGAGGTCAACGCTCAAATTCTTTATCCCACCTTAAAGTGGTTTATTTCTTCTACCCATTTCTACCACCCCAATTGGCTGGAGGAAGCTATCATCCAAGATTTCCAAAGATCCATCGAAAAATCTTCATAGGGGCTTGGTTCATATATTGCTTTGTCAAAAAGAAATCAACTGCGTTCTGAAAAAAAAACTATGCCAGAAATTGGCTGCAAATAAAGGATTCTCGGAGACCTAGAATCGAGAAGTTTTTTCCCCAGTTTTTCAATCAACCAGAATTGATCCAACTGGGCATCCACTAGAATAGAAAGGATTTGTCAAGCTCAAGGGCAATCTTGACAGCAACTCTGGTAATTCATCTGGTGACGCGACACATTTGATCAAACTCAATGGGCTCCGGCTTCCAGTTTCGCTGGATTTCAGCGTCATTGCCACCTGCCACTTCCCTTGCCACTTCCCTTCGCACATCAAAATCACGCCAGGGACGGAGGTGAAATAGGCGAGACGATAGGACCTGTGGTTGGTGGTGCTCCATCGCTGGTTTTGTGGTTTTTTGGGAGCAAAAAAAGTAACATCATGGAATCATGTACTGTAAAAATCTTGGATTTTGCTTAAGGTCGCCCTGAAAAAAACTATGGATTCCCATGGATTCCATATATTTCTGATGTATTTCCCATTGGGAAAGTAACACATTACCTCAAACAAAGACACGAAATAAGTTGGGATCAAAAAACCTCACTTCTTGCTGGAGAGAACAACAAGACTTTGAAACACCAAACTGTGGCACGGCCGGCGGATGCTTTGCTGCTTTGCTCCAGTATCTCCTGATTTTCACCAAGAAAATCATCTGCACTTCATGCCGCCAGTCTTACCCTGCATCAAAATTCATGTGCTGTTGGTGTGTTCCTTTTCTGGCTTGAGATATCCCCAATCTAACCCTCCTGTAAACGTTCATAGTGGAAAACCAACCATTTGTAGATCCGTTTCCTGGGGTTTGACCAGGGCTTTTAAGCACATATATATAAACCTTTCCCCTAAGGTATATTCAGTAACATTAGAAAAAGTGTGCTCCATCAACTGGGATGAAGATCCTTATCCCTGATGTTGATATCTATATCTTGGATAATCCATTCACGTGGTTTCTGGGAGTTTCTGTCCAGTGGCACGAAGTAGGTCTTCCAGTCCACTCCCGTCTCACTGACCATGAGCCCAGAATAGCTGGACAAGACCTGAGAAAAAATCGTGGCAGTACATGATGACCCTATAAGTTGGGATACGGGGCTCCAGCATAACATCTATAACTATAGTTGTATATCCAGCATAACTGGAACTGCGCGGAACCAAAATTCATGAGGCCCTTATCGGGCTGCCAAAAAGTTGCGAAACCATCCCCACTTGGGGTTTATGATTGGATAATTTGGTGTATGACCCCAGCAAATGGGTTTATATATTTCATTATATCACTGGGTTTATTGTACCATATATGTTTTTTTCCATACTAATTTACCATATTAATCTGGGATGGTTGATGATTGGGTGTATTTCATTATATCATTTACATCTCAGGACAAGATGTTTGGTCCCAAGGTATCTGTGAAATCCACTGGGCAACTTTAATGGAATCATGATGAATTTCAAACAGGAGCAAAGAAGATGCATAGTGTGTATTGTCCTGCAGGTTGATGCCCCATGTTTGCCTGGGTGTGTGGTAGAAATATTATGTGTATATATATATATTAATTATTATTATTATATTATTATTATTATTATGATTACTATTATTATTATTATGTTATTATTATTATATTTGTATTATACATATATATTATATCATATATTATATCATATATTATATTATATATTATATCATATATTATATCATATATTATATCATATATTATATCATATATTATATCATATATTATATCATATATTATATCATATATATATATATATATTATATTATCTTGTATTATTAAGTGGAGGATATCCTAATATTGGGGTACCCCACATCATCCAAGTCATTAGACCATGACTTAGGAACCATGCTGACGAATCGTGATCGTGATCATGGGGGGGGAAAAGGGGGGCACTACCTTGTGCACTGTTTGATAGCCGTTGATCCAGCAACCGCCTTGTGATCCTTGTGCCTGGCCATTTGGAGATAGTTCCAGTGACGTCCCCCTGCCGAAAATAGTGGTATATTGAACAGCGCTCCCGAAAAAAGCGTTCACTGGTGGTTTTAACCCTACCCCTCTGAAAAATATGACTTCGTCAGTTGGGATGATGAAATTCCCAACTGTTTCTGGAAAGTCGTAATCCATTCATGTTCCAAACCACCAACCAGGTTCAGCCTTGGCCGAGCACTGCCCCGCAACCAAGACACCGGTACGGCGGTGTAAAGATGCGTCCCCACCAAGAAGGCCTAGCTTAGCTTACGACCGGACACAACGATCGTCATGAGAAAGGGTGCTTTTAAGGGGATTTGACCACTGAACAAGGGAGGTTGGTGCTCCAGTTCGTTAGCTAAGTTGGTTGAACTAATTAGGTTGCCGATCAGATGGTGAGAACTAGTTAGTAGGGTTTATAGAAAAAAATAGAACAAGAAAAACATGACTGGGATGGCACCACCTTGTACAGAATGCGACTAAATACAATCCGAATGGTTTGCAGTTTGCGGGTAGTCAAAATTGCTAAATCTCTCAAAGATGATGAACACTCTTTGAACGGGACCTTACAATTCTTCCGGTCTATAACGTTGATTATATCTTGATTTACATCCATTTGACCTCATACAGAAGGCACGCCGAACCATCTCTGAGGCAGGCAGGAACTGTCAACCAGTTCACCTGACTTAGCAGAACATTTCACCTGCTTTGGCTATTTCATGGTAGATACATATGGGGGTTTCCGAAGTCATAGTGCTACCCCAAATCATCCAAGTCATGGATGACCATATTAATCCATTTTTGTATTGAAACCCATGGTGCCTTGGGGAGTCCCGGGGTACATCTATAAACTGCCATGACTGGCCCGGTGATTGAATGGTTCCATGCTGCTGAAATCTGGTTTGCCCATCATTTCCAGAGAATTCATCTGCAAACAGAGAAACAGACCCTTTGTGCAGGAATTCTATGCTGGATTCTATACTGGTTGGTGGTTGACCGGATTCTCCCATATATTATGGACAATAAAAAATGTTCCAAACCACCAACCAGTATAAGGTTCCCATACTTGTCGCTGAATTCCTGATTGTTGAAGTTAGTTTCCATCCCTGACTCGTATAAATATGTATAAATAACCTTCAGCCTTCAGCCAAACAGCCTCCATTTTGACTTGTCACACCAAGGATCACCAACAAAATTGTCCCTCCTCTGGAACTGTGTATGTATATATGTATGTATCCCGGGACACACAAATTCAGTTGAGCAGCTTAGTTCAACCAACTTACCTGAAGGCTTTCCTCGTGATATACCAATGTTATCCCATTTTTTGAGGCGTTTAGCACCCAATGTTCAACCCGCCTGAGAGCCAGAGCCGGTATCTGGTTGCTGGTCATCTTAACCAATCACTGCTTGGTGGTTGACCTACCCCTCTGAAAAATATGACTTCGTCAGTTGGGATTATTCTTCCCAATATATGGAAAAAATAAGATATGTTCCAAACCACCAACTATATATGTATATATATATATAGTGGAATGAATAGACATATAGTTGAATGAAGAAAAACATATCATGTCATCTCATCCCTTTTAGAATAGATCTTAGTTCACAACTTAGTTCATAACCATCCATTCTACATCTTTGACACACCCAGATCTGCAGCCGAGGCACTGCGCAGGCCAGGGGCATGGCTTGACCCTCCAACCATCGATCCGGCGAATTCCAGGAGATCGTCAGAAAGATGAGGAGCAAATAATTCCTGGCTTCAACGGGAGATTTACCATTTCCCAGGGGGATTTCATGGGATTTATAGCTGATTTATGATAGCTAAGCTGGTTAATAACCCAGTGAAATCAGTGACTATTTCTGGTTGGTGGTGCAATAACCATCTTGAAAAATATGAGTTCGTCAATGGGAAGGATTATTCCCAATATATGGGAAAATAAAAATGTTCCAAACCACCAACCAGTTTACCATTTCCCATGGCTGGTAGATATAACGAACTAGTATTCATAGGGGGTTATTTCATGGTTTATAAATAAACCAACTTCGAACTGTTTTTTTTAAGAACGCCATGGGATTTGAAAAGCCATGGAATCTGTGAACGGAAAGCGAAGGGTAACGATGATGGGATGGTTGCGTTGAATCCTGCAACACTTGGGATTTCTATTGGCAACTGAGTGAAACATTTACTAATGGGATTATCCCATTAGTAAAACATCCAACTAGTAAATGGTTTATCCGATTATAATCCCATTATAATACCAGTTAGTAAATAATGGGATGATAATGGGATAAACCATTTACTAACTGCAGGATTTCTTCCATCCACTCTTTGATGGGATGTGGGGGCCAAGTATTGTTTCTTGTGGGATATTGTACAACCATGAGGGCCCCCCCAGTGATGGCTAAGTTGGTGTAGTTTCACCCCATGACTATAGTTTTATCAGTATCATAAACCATAGTTTATTGGAGTTTAAAAAAAAAAAAAACTGAATTTTTAAAACTAGATATTCCCATATTGGAGTTTTAAGCCATGATTCGGGAAACCCAAGGGAAAATATGCTGGGAATATTAAGATGTTGCCAATTCTGTTTTGGGGATTCCGAAAGGGAAACATCCAAGGAAATAATGATGGTGATACAGGAAAGGCCCCCCCAGTTATGTCAGTTGGTTGAGAAAACCCCATCCAAATATAGGTGTTTGAGTATCATACACCATTGTTACTATAGTTATAAACCAACTTAGCTAGCTATGGGGCCCCATCCTGTATGTATTGTTGTTTTCCGACTAAGTATGAAATAGGAATATATTTACAAATATGGAGATTTCATGGCAATTTGACCAATTTGACCCATTTGGTGATTTTTACGGGAAATTGAACCAACAAAGAAAACGGAAGATTTTGTGCGGGGATTGATGTGTTTTGATTGGACTATAGTGGGATGTAATGTGCGAACCCTATGGAAGATATGGGTATGGGTAAAAATTGGTGACCACAAAAATTGATGGTTAATATACTGAAAAAATGACAAAAACAAACTCTTGTCTCCAGGGTCATAGTTTTTGACCAGTACATATATCGCTTTTCAATCAACGAAATATTGATATGTATGTGTATATATATATATTATACATATTTGGATAGTTTATCAATAAGAAACAAACCATCCATTTTCTTGGAATCTGGAACATGTTAGATGTTCAAACAACAAAAGCTGCGGATATTACGGTATTTTATTAGCAGTACTGACTTACAATCCATCTTTAGAGATTTGAACATGTAGCTGGAAATAGCAATGCAACATGTGCCAAAAAAACGGCAGTCCACAATTTCTTCTGAGTTGGTAGTGGTCGGTTACTACATCCA